GGAGGGCAGTTGAGGACAGCTCAAAGCCTTGGGACCCTGCACCCATGTGAGACACCCAGAAGAGTCTCCAGGCTCCTGGCTTTGGATTGGCGTGGCTCTGGTCATTGCAGACATTTGGGGAGCGAATCCTCGGATGGGAAGATCTTCCTCTCTGTCTCTCTTCCTCTCTTTATATCTGACTTTCCAATAAAAAAATAAGTCTTTTTAAAACAAGAATGAAAAATTGCATGTGACACATGTCTTTTCCAAGGTTGTAGAGCCTCTGTAATTTGGACCTGCCAATAAAGAAACAATAACGTGAGGAAAAGCAAGACTTCCAATGTCCATTACTCACATTTTCACTTCCAAGGGGTGACACCAAAGCCAGGTTGTACATGAGCCCTGCTGAAGACAGGGAAAGGTTGAAAATCAGAAAGACGTGCCATAGTCTTATCTCTTACTACAAGGTCCCCAGATCTTAGCTCTGCCACAGTTAGCAAGTGTCAAGTTTTCAAAAGTCAATTCTGGGAAAATTAAAGAATGAATGCAGCATTACAGATAAATTCAGGGTTTGGTAGGCATTTGGCACAGTCGTGGAGTCACCTCCTGCGACAGCTACACCCAACATCTGGGTTCCTGGCTGGTGTCCTGGTGACTCTGCTTCTGCCCCGGATCCTGGGAGGCAGCAGAGGGCGACTCAGGTACTTGAGTTCATGTCCCCCACTGGGGAGACCAGGATGGTGTTCTGGTCTGCAGGCTTCAGGCTGGCCCAGCCCTGTTTGATGTGGACATTTGCAGAGAGAACCAGCCGATGCAAGATGTGTCTGTCTCTCTCTTCACTTTCAAATAAAGTGAAAATAAGTGGATGAGAGAGAATTCTTTCACGAGACTGTTTCTATTTATATTCGGTATAACCTGCCTGCAAGTGCTGTTGCTTTGGGGGCTGTGAGAGCGCAGCTGCCAGAGGTCCTGCACAGGTCCCGCCCAGAGAGTGGCAGGGGCTTTCGGATTCCTGGGAGCTGGACTGACATTTGCATGTGTCCAAGTCACTTGGCAACAGCTGGCCTCTCAGGACACTGACTAGGGATCGTTGTTCCTCAAAACTGGATCCGGGGGACCAACCTGGAGGATCATAATAAAAAGAAAGATCATGTCTTTTAAGAGGGGGGGATGGGGAGGGTCATGCAAATCCGAGTGAGAACTGGGTGCCTCAGTGCTGCCAGAGTGTGCTGTGTTTTATTTGGGAAACGAGACAAAATCTTCCCATGATCAGCCACTCCATGTGACATCCCAACCCACACTCTGCTACTGACATTTCATCTCCCACTGAACAGCCCGGCTGTTGTAACATTTTCAGGATTCTTAATTTATGTCTCGTAGGATCTAAAATCAGATGGCAGGAACTTTAAGAAAATAACCAGTGTTGACAGGCACTTTCTGCTTTGAGAAGCTGCGACACCTAGCACTGCTAAAAACTGGGGAACCCTCTCTATCTTCTTCCTAAACACGTCCAGTGGTTAGAGACAGGAAGCCATCCTAAGTCACGTCACTGCTGCTTTCCACGTAAACTCCACGGAAAGCCCTTCCTTCCACACAGGATATGCCAGGATATGCTGTGTTTTGTAATGGGGGGGATCAGCATTTAATTAGCTTAAATCACTGTAACCAATGAAAGTTTATGGTAACTGATGAGTTTGAAAGATTTATTTAATTGAAAGGCAGAGCACAGAGAAAGAGTGAGGGTGCATGTGAGAGATCTTCCATCTGCTGGTTCCATTCTCAGAAGGCCACAGCCACCAAGGTTGGGCCAAGCAGAAGTCAGGAAACCAAACTCCCTCCAGGTCAGCCATGCGGGTGGCCAGGCTCCAACTTTTTGGACCATCCACTGCTGCTTTCTTTTTCTTTCTTTCTCTGTCCCTTCCTCCCTTCCTTCCTTAAGATTTATTCACTCTTACTGGAAAGGGGGATTTACAGAGAGGAGATACAGAAAGAAAGATCTTCCATCTGCTGGTTTACTCTGCAAATGGCCACAACAGTTGGAGCTGAGTTGATTTGAAGCCAGGAGCCAGGAGCCAGGAGCCAGGAGCCTCTTCCTGGTTTCCCATGTCGGTGCAGGGGTCCAAGGACTTGGGCCATTCTCTGATGCTTTTCCAGACCATAAGCAGAGAGCTGGATTTGAAGGTGGAGCAGCTGGGACACGAGCCAGCACCCATATGGGATGCTAGTGCTTGCAGGTGAAGGATTAGCCTGTGAGCCACAGCTGCAGCCCCCATCTGCTACTTTCTTAGGAGCTGGAACCACAAGGGGAGCAGCCAGGACTCGAACCAGTGCTCTGATAAGGAATGCTGGCTTCACAAGCAGTGGGCTTCATCAAACCACCAGCCCCAGTTCACTAGAGAAAAGTAAGTTGATCCAGAGATAAGGTGAGCAACTTAGGGTAAGCTTTATAGCTTATCACCTGTTGATTTTCAAATCACCACTGAGAGAAGATGAGAAGGACAATGATTCCTCCTTTATGGAAGAGGTAAGTGGGCCTCCAGCATTGGAAATAAAACTAGCCGCGAAGTATACAGTTTGGAGAAATTGGAACTTAAGCCTAAATCAGTCTCCTCTCGTTCTGTCTCTCGGATTCCATTCCTACCATGAGACTCAACTGCTCTGGTGTAGCTTTGCAGATGAATACGTAGAAACTTTTACTGAACAGGCTAGTGGCAGTGGTGAATACCTGGGGCATGTGGGCTTCAACCCATGACCACCAGGCTGCTGGCATTCACCCTGGCTCTGCGCTATCTGTCCTTGATCCTTCTCAGAATGGATTTTTGTTTAACAGTATTTTAAACAGTTCTTGGAGACAGGGATGAATGCTGTGGTGCTGTGGACTAAGCTGCCCCTTGGGATACCCGGCTCCCATTCTGGAGTGCCTGGTTTGAGTCTGGACTCCTCTGCTCACGCATGTGGGAAGGCGGTGGATGTTGGCTGAAGCACTTGGGTTGCTGCTCCCACGTGGGAGACCTCCAGGTGTTCCAGGTGCCTGGCTTCTTTCCTGGTCCAGCCCTGGCTATTGTGGACATTGGAGGAAGGATTCAGCAGATGAAAGACTCTCTTCGTCACTTTGCCTTTCACATAAATATCTTTTAAAAGGTCATGGGAGGGCCCGGCGCGGTGGCGCAAGTGGTTAGGTCCTCGCCTTGCACGCCCGGGATCCCATATGGGCGCCGGTTCTAATCCCGGCAGCCCCACTTCCCTTCCAGCTCCCTGCCTGTGGCCTGGGAAAGCAGCTGAGGACGGCCCAAGGCTTTGGGACCCTGCACCCGCGTGGGAGACCCGGAAGAGGCTCCTGGCTTCGGATCGGCATAGTATCGGCCCGTTGCGGCTCACTTGGGGAGTGAATCATCGGACGGAAGATCTTCCTCTCTGTATCTCCTCTCTGTATATCCGCCTTTCCAAAAAAAAAAAAAAAAAAAGGTCATGGGAAATGGAATTATAATGTTTATTTTGGTGCAAAATTAAGTTATGTATGTGAAGGCCTTCAAAAAGTTCACAAAAATGCATATTATAAGAAAACTATGTGTGGATTTAGGCAAAGTATCTTTTAATTGCATTTCCCCCAAATGTTTTCAAGGACCTTATTAATGACCGGAACCATGCTGAGGAGGACAGACCCTGGAGCCAGTGGCTCTGCTGCTAATCGCAGACCTGGGTAAGTTGCTTAGTTTCTTTGGGCCTCATTTGCTTCTGCTGAAAGGGGAAGTGCTAACAGCAACCTTATAGGAAAGTTACGTGAGTTTATGGGAAATGTACCCAAAGGCTCCATTCATCAGTGTGCTACATGATTGCTTTCTTCTACTTTTTAATTTGATTTTTAAATTGGAAAGTCAGATATTCAGAGAGAAGAGACAGAGAGGAAGATCTTCTGTCCGATGATTTGCTCCCCAAGTGACCGCAACGGCTGGTTCTGTGCTGATCTGAAGCCAGGAGCCAGAAACCTTTTCCAGGTCTCCTACACGGGTGTAGGGTCCCAAGGCTTTGGGCCATCCTCGACTGCTTTCCCAAACCACAAGCAGGGAGCTGGATGGGAAGCAGCGCTGCCAGGATACAAACTGGCGCCCATATGGGATCCTGGCACATGCAAGGTGAGGACTTTAGCCACTAGGCTATGGTACTGGGCCCTCTACTTCTTTTTTAAGGATTTATTTTACGTGAAAGACAAGGGTTTTCTTGCACACCGTGGAGGCTTTAAAAGCACGTTTAAACGAACCGAATGCTACGAGAACAGAAAGTTTCAGACCCTTCAGGCTCATGGTCGAGGTGTTTCCTTTATCTCCAGGAGCAGAGGCCAGGGAAAGGAATATTCCCCCAGTGCCATAAATCCAGACTGCAGGTTCAATCATTTCCGTGAAGCCTCAGCATTTGGCTAGTGCCTGCGTTTCCTTTGACAAAGCCAGGCGGCCATGCCCCTAACACTCCTAGGTACAAATCAGGCCCTCAGCAGGTGTTTCCCAATTTCCTTGTTTGCTCCCACTCCCAGGTTGCCAGGGGAAGCTCGGGCGTATCTCCTGACACTGAGTGAGAGATGCTAACCCAGGTGTTACAGGCCAGGAGCTCACAAATGAGACCACAAACAAGTGCAATTGGATAAAAGAGACACCTTTAACCTAACCATTAAGGCTCCAGCCCGACTGCACCTGCTCTCCCCAGAGCGCTCTGGCCCCGCCCCGTCCCCGCCCTCCTGCCTCAAAGTCCCGCCCCCATGGCCCGTCCCAGCTGACCCCGGCCGCGCTTCGCCAGTAGCACGCTTGCGCATTTCCTAAGACGTCTTAGCAGCTCCGGAATCTAAATGGGTTCGTGGAGGTGGGAAGCACCTCGTGTTTCCCACAGATGTTTGCCCAGCTTTTTTCTGTGCTCTCTCAGAGCTGGTTCTGTCTTTTGTGGTCTCCTTCTGGTTATCTCGTGATATATAAAATGTGAGTTTTAAATTAGGCGGGCTCCGGGCAGCCCGTAACCTGGCGTAGGGTCCTGACGCTGAGCCTTGGGACGACCGCCCGGGAGGCAGGGTCCTTCTCCAGGGCGGTCGCGCAGGCAGCGGCTGCAGGAAGCCGGACTCCGGGCGTCATGTATTACAAATTCAGTGGCTTCACGCAGAAGTTGGCGGGCGCTTGGGCTTCGGATGCCTATTCCCCGCAGGTACGAGTCGCGCCGCCCGTGTTCCGAAGGGGTGCGTGGCGGCCAGACCTCCGCGCGGGCAGTCACGGCGTTCGAGCCGGCGAGGCTTGTGCCCGCAGTTGTGTTGGATTCGCCCGGAACCTTGTGGTTCCTCTCCCGAGCGGCTCGTCCCGTGTGTCTGCGCTCCGTGTTGTGTGGCTGTTTGTTTGGCAGGGTCGTCTTCTGACTCCATGCAGGGTTCAAGGTGACCCCCAGGGTCGCTGCTCGTCTTTGGTGCGTGACTCGTGGGGTCGGGAGAGGGTGGCTGACCCAGCTGAGTCCACGCTCCTGCCCTCTCGCTCTTGCAGGAGGTCCAGCTCTGGACCTGCGTCCTTCTGCCCCGTCCCCCTGTCACTGCCCGGGATGCAGTGTCCCCTTCGGGCGAGGCTGGAGCCTGGGCAGCCTGGGTCGGTTCGAGCTGGAAGGGGTTCTCAGGCGTCCGAGGGAGCCTGGGAGTTAGCACGGAGGGAGAGGAGTGCATCACACTTGAAAAGTGGTGGGAGTGCCTGTAGTAGCCTCAGAAGTATTCGGGTTTAGCATTCGCTGTCTACCGTTTGGAGTTTAAGTCTCCGTCTTGAGTGTTATGAAGAGCTCGGATTTTAGTGTGTCAGGCAGGTTCGGTTTCACAGCCCATCTTTTATGCCCTTAGCTCGCGTGACCTTGGCCAGACTGTTAGACCTGCAGACAGTGAGCGTAATTTCACCCACAGATTACAGCTGTGTGTCACGTGACAAGCACTGTGGCTTGTGTGTTTCTGTTTGGTGATAGCTGTTCTCCGGCCGAGCCTGCTGGAACGTGGTGTTCTTCCTGGTTCTTCTCCGGTGGGAAAGGTTGATGAGACAGCTGGGAGCCCAGGTGCTGTGTGGAGAAGGTATTGCAGCTCCCCCCGCTCCCGGCTATTTTTTTCCTGCCGGGCATTGCAGCTTCCCTAAGTGGGGAAGAAAGCTTTCCTCGTATTAGAGATGCTGTTGGCAAGGTTACAGACAGATTTTTAGGGAAGGATGGTGAGAAGGAATTTAAGGTTTGTAACTCTTGGACTGTGACATGACTTGTCTAGGAGCAGTTGGATTTGTGAATTTAGAATTTGATGGAGATACATGGGCTGCAGTCATGGGGGGAGGGAAGGCAGATAGACGATGATTAGATTATAGGTACGTGAAGGTGGACAGGGAAGAAAAATTATGGGTTAAAAAGTCCAGAATTAAAAGAGAAATCACTGCAGTCACTAAAACCCATTTGATTATGACTTGTGAGGGAGGAATTAACAACGGTGTTGCAGCAATTTCCTTTACAGATATGGGAAAGTGTTGCTTCTACGTTTAGGTTACGACTTGTTTTTCAGCCTGTGGATCTTGTTAAGAGTTTGAAGAGTTTTGACAAGCGTATAGGCTTGTGCCCCACCTTGCTCAGTAGGACACCAGGGTTACGCCATCCCCAGAAGTTTCCCCGTGAGTTGCTGACCGCTTTCCTAGTATGACTTCATCACAGCATACATGGGATCGCACACTGTCCACTGTGCTGTTAACGTTTATTTTTTCCTAATGTAATATTTTGGAGGTTCATCTGTGTTGCAGGAATCAGTTTTTTTGTTTTGTTTTGTTTTGTTTTGTTTTTACTGCTCTGTAGGGCTCCATTGTATGAATATATCATCTACTTGGATAGTTGTAGATTTTAAAACTTTTTGTTGTTTATTTTCATCTTGAAATGCAGAGCAAGAGAGGTCTTCCATCACTGGTTCATTCCCCAGATAGGCCCAGTGCTAGGCCGGTGGTGGAGCCAGGAGTCCAGAACCCCAGCTGGGTCTCCTGTGAGTATGATAGGGGCCCAGGTGCTGTGTCATTGTCTGCTGCCTCCCAGGATGCGTTGGCAGGGTGCTGGACTGGAAGCCAAGTAGCCAGGTATGGGGTGTGGCTGCTCTGAGAGGTGCCCTGACACGCATGACTGATGTTCTTCATAAACTGGGTTTTGCTAAGCGTTTTTTTTTTTTTAAAGTAAACAGTTGGAATAAAACTGACATTGGGCAGAAATTCCCTTGTGGTGCATTTGGTAAAGATCGGGTGTTTGGATTTTATCACCTCTGGAATTGTATTCCTCCTGAAAATTGGAAGTTCACGGTTGCTTAGATTTCAGCTGTGATGGTGGAAGTGATACTTTGTAGGTTTTATCTGGCGAGTACATTTCAGAATGTGGCGGTTAAACCCACCCTCTAACCAGGCACTCCAATTTAGATAATTAGGAGTCCTTTAATATTTCCTTTCTTGGGATCATTAACATGCTATAGAATGAAGATATTTGCAGCTTTCAGTACTGTGTAAAACGAATAACCTGATGTGCATCATTAAATAGTTTTACTTGTTCCATAACAGTATTATAGGTAGAGATTTTAACTTGACGTGATAACTTTGTCATTAGAGAAGCAGGGACGGATTTGAGGCTTACCATGCTAAGTTGCAGCACCTGCAGCCCTGGAGTAAGCACAGGTGAAGTGCTTTTCTCAATCCCTTTGGACACAGCTTTTAGTAAGGCCTATTCTTGAGAAATGCAGTGCTATAAAGCCAGCTGTCTTGAGACATTAGAACCCTTGGCTGCTCTGATAATTGTTGGCAGGGCTGGTGATGGGTAGGTGAAATATTGCGGCATTTTATAATCATTCCGTTAGCCTTGGGGCCAAGCTGAATTTTGGATAGTGTGGTATAATCAAAGCACCTGGGGGACTGGTTTGTGGCAAACGGAGTTAAACCACCACCTGCAGAGTTGACATCTCACACTGCCCTATGCTGATTCCAGTCCAGCTCCTACACTTACATAGAAGACCTGAAAGAAGCTCCTGGCTTCTTAACTTGCCTGGCATAGTCCTGTTTTGGCCATTTCTCTCTTCTCTTCTCTAACTCTGCCTTTAAAACAAACAAAACAGTAAATCTTTAAAAAAACAAGAATAGCTCAGAGAACCTCAGTTTGAATCCTCTCTTGCTTATGGAGTCTGAGCTTTGTTTTAATCATCTGTTCCAGGGACTTCTAGAACTTCATTTACAGGCTGTCAACAGTGAATTCATTGACAATTATGAATCTGTGAATGAGTCAGAAAAAAACTTAATTGCAAATGAGAAAAAACAATATAGATCTTTGCACGGACTGTAAATGTTAAAATAAGCATATCAAAAACGATAGGGGGACTGGTGCAATAAATGGTTAAATCCTCACCTGAAAGCACTGGGATCTCATCTGGGTACCAGTTTGTGTTCCGGCTGCTCTGCTTCCCATCCAGCTCCCTGCTTGAGGCCTGGGAAAGCGGTAGAGGATTTGTTGGGACTCCACACCCATGTGGGAGACCCAGAAGAACCAGCACATGGAAGATCTTTGTCTCCCCTGGTTTCCATAAATCTGATCTGGCTTTCCAGTAAAAGTGAGCAAATCCTTAACAACAAATGTTTACTGAAAAAAGAAAGATAGGGATGCTGGCATTATGGTACAACAGGTTGAGCTGCCACCAGCAGTGCCAGCATTCCGTACACGTGCTGGTTCAGGCTCCAGCTGCTCCACTTGGGTTCTGGCCCCTTGCTAATGGCCTGAGAAACGCTGTAGGGGATGGCCCAAGCACTTGGGTTGTTGCCACACCTGTGGGAGACTGCAGTGACGCTCTCGGCTGCTGCCTTCTGCCTAGCCCAGCCTGGCCTTGATGGCCATGGGGAGAGTGAGCCAGCGGTTTGAAGCTCTCCCTCTGTCTTTCAAAATAAAAATACTAATCTTTAGAAAAGAAGACTATATAATTTGTAATGGATGGGTAAAGCAACAAGTAGGTAGCTAAGATTCTGTGTTCTAAACGTTTGTAATATGTTAAAGGAAATATGGAATTGTTTAAAATAGTTGATATACTTGTTCAAAAACCGGTTTTGAATCATTGGCTGGATAACCAGAGAAAGTAATTAGGAACAATCTTTTCTGAAAATGCTCTCACAGTAGGCTTGTCAAAATGTGAATTTATTTTCCGAGTGTTTCTAGAGATGCTTGTAGAAAGTGACTTTTAGTTTTTGTAGTCGAGGGGAAAGGATCGGTAGGAGGAAGCAGTGTGAGTGCAGGGTCATTTCCAGGAGGCCGGCGTTGTGCAGTCCACGCTGAGCCCTTGTGGTCTCGTGAGTTCAGGAATCGGGCCTCTCCTTCCCTCTCTGACTCCTTTGGAGTCTGTGTCAGTGTGTTATGCAACACCTTGTCATATGGAGAGTCAAAATGTGTTATTTTTCTTTTTAAAGATGATTTGAGAAGTAGAGTTCAAGAGGGAGAGCTCTTCAAGTCAGTGGCTCATTTACTAAAGCATTGGGGTCATCTGCTGCTTCCCCAGACACAGTAGCAGGGAGCCCGAATGGAAGGGGCACATTTGGGACTCCAGCTGGAACCCACGTGGGCTGCCGCCTTCTTTCATCAGCATGATGCTTTCAGGGTTGCTGTTGTGTGTCAGTACTTCGCACCCTCATTTTACTTTGGTTGTGCATCTAATAATCATACAGTGTCAGTTACTTTATACTTTGTGGCTTGTTTTCTGTTCCTGACAGCACACGTGTGTGTCTTTGTCTTTAAACTGTTACAGGCCATTTCAGACTGAGTTATTGCTAAGTTTCTGAAGTACACGTTGGGGTTATGAGTTTCAGGTTGGTACGTTGGCTGACCCAGAGGAGGAACGAGGGAGATGTGGTCACAGGTCACACAGATCATGGGTGTTCTGCTGGTCCCATGGGAGCAGGGGCGCAGTAGGCATTTTAGAAGCGTAGATTGGTGTGCCTTTCCCGCCTTCTCCCTAAGTGCTAGTGTTTGAAAAAGGAGGTTAGGCTGTTGTCAGAAGTTGGAAGACCAGCTGGAGCCTCCCCTTTCCAGCTTCTCCTGTGATTGAATGGCTGCCCTCACTAGCCAGACTGCTCTTTGAGAGGTTTGTCCAACTATCCACACATTTTTAACTTGCTGTTTTCCTTGTTTTCCTACAGGGATTAAAGCCCGTGATTTCCACAGAAGCACCGCCTATCATATTTGCTACTCCAACTAAATTGACCTCCAGTTCTCCCGCATATGATTATGCTGGGAAGAACAAAGTTCCTGAGATGCAGAAGTTTTTCCAGGTGAGACGATGCTAAAACAGAAGTCTGTAAAAAATACTGTAAATAAAAATCCCTTCTTAAGATGAATCTTAGTCCAGATTACTGTCAGACTTCCTTTTTCTGTGATTAGGATTCCCTCAATTTTAATTTGATTCATACACATAGAAGTTTATATGAAGGAGGGAAGGGTAATTTTCAGATTGCATGTAAGCAGTCACATGCATGATGACAGTGAGTACCTCCATGTATTTTGGCTTTGTATGCAGTGATTTTTGCTAGTGGGGTTTTTTTTTCCTCTAATCATTCTTTGCTTGATATTAAAATTCATTGATTTGTCACTGGAAGTACAAGAAGGCCTTCTTGAGCTTGCTGATTAACAGAGAGAAGTCAAAATTAGAACTCAAAATACTGTGAAGTTGACCTGCCTTCCGAATTGGATAAATTGGCCCCCTCACTGAATCTCAGCTACGGTGGTGGTGCCTGTTGTAGGAAATCACTTCCTTTTCAGCAAAAAATGTCCTTATTCTGTTTTCATCATTTTTAATCTCTATATGATAAGATTTGAGAAAGGGTGTTTTAAGTCTTTTGAGATGCGTTGGGTTGAGTTTCAATGAAAAATAACTAAATTTTACTAATCTGTTAAATGGGCACTTAAAAGTTTGGCAGAAAGAAGATAGTGGAGGAGAAAATGGATTTGAACCTTTTAGTTGACCTGGTGTCCTCTGTGTTCATGACCATGAGCCACACTGAATGCAGTGACCCCGGGAGCATGTCCACTGCACTCGGTTGTTTCCCTTCTGGTTGCCTGTGCCTTAAACCAATCCACCATGCCTCTTTCCTAGTTATGCCATATTTGATAAATACCGTAGGAACTCGGAATTTGTTACATGTCTTTCCTTTGGACTGCATCTTGGAATGACTTCAGACTTGCAAGCTTTAGCTGCATGTTCCTAAAGTTAACACCAGCATTTCTGTTAACGTTCTGATGGATTAGGGCTTTGTTCACTAAGCTGCATCTGTGAGTTAAAAAGTAAACACACTTGTTCTTTATTAGCTTATAATTGTAAAACCTTTTTCTTACCAACCATGCCCTTGTTCATTCTTTAAGAAATCAGATGGTGTGCCTGTCCACCTGAAGCGAGGCCTGCCTGACCAAATGCTGTACCGGACCACCATGGTGCTGACCTTGGGAGGGACCATCTACTGCCTCATCGCCCTCTACATGGCTTCACAGCCCAAAAACAAATGAATTAGGCTGCCCGGGACTGGTTTGCTTTCTGGCATTAAATCCTTTGAATTTTCACTTTTCATTGTTTGTTAATTTTTTGTTGTTAAACTTGGTATTTTTTTTTTTTTCCCAAGGAAAAAAAGTCAAGAGACTGTTTTGGTTTGTTTATGAAATACATATGGCTTGCCAGATGTCAGCACTCATTTGACAGTCAAATCTATTGTTTCAAGAAACAGCGCTGTGTCCTGTATTTGGGTTTCTGATTTGCCTGGTGGTTCTGGAGGAAAGTTGTGCACGTGCTCATGGAGGGCAGCCCCTGCTGAGGCCCCAGGGACTTGGGGTTGCGGTTCTGAACCGGGGTGCAGGAGCCTTTCTGGATTTGGGGTGTGACTCGAGGAAGGACGGCAGAACCCAGGGCCTGGCACTCGGGTGAAGGGTCCAAGGCGCTTTGGGGGTTTCCTCTTCACTCTTCAGCAAGATGTTAGTAGATCCTGTTTGCAGCCTGCCTCTGTTCACCACTCAGTTTGTTTCAAAGGATTATTTGCCTCACCTTGGCTTCTTAGTGGATTTTCATGTGTCACTGTTTATTTATTCCAGCCTGGGAACAGAACACCTGTTTAGTATTGCCCTTTGGACTGGTGTCTTGTTAACGCAGCCGCGCCACAAATTTTCTTTTGTCTTTTAAAAATGTTATGGCTTTAAATTATGATTTATTTTGATTGTGGAATAAATACATGAATGGAAAATTTCAAGTTTGTAGTTGTTTTAAATTAAATAACCTTTCAGAATAATTTCAGCAAACCAGAGGGATCTCACATGTTTTTCTTTGTAATTGGGCACCAGATAATCTTTACAGAATGGTTCCTTAAGGTGAGGTAATAGTAATAGGATTTTAATGGCATGTTAATGATTCCATATGGTTCTTGTAAGAAACCCACTGATTCCTTAGCGAAATGTGCCTGCAATGCACAGTTCATGTAGACACTAATTCCCTGTGTTGTCATAATTATCAGACTTCACTTACCCTGGATAAAGGTGGGATTTTATTGTATATGATTATATTATATAAGTATGAGTGATCTGTATCTTGCCTTTGCATATAACATTGACTTCTTACTGAGGACAAAATATGGTATTTGGAAATATTCAATAGCGTTTTTATGGGCCAAAAACTTCTTTTATGTTTCAATAGATCTAAATTTCAGTTGCTAAGAATCATACAATATACATTATTCACTGAGATATAACCAGTTACCCGTATTTTGCCTCCTTGATTTTTTCTTGTCCTCACACACAGACTTAAACACAGGGCATGAATCTTAAACATGAGCCTCAGGTTTGTTTTTTTCTCTAAATCATTTAAGGTAAAGAATTATCACAAATCATCTGTAAGTCTTCAACAGGTAGGTATCTCCCCTGAGAGTAAGGGCCTGTTCCTCCCCTGTCTGCAACAAGGTTGTCACACTCGGTTGATATTGGTTACAGGTAAAACAGTCTAATACAGTATGTTTTCAAATTATCTCAATACATCAATAGTGTGTCCTTTATACTTGTGTTTAAAAGCAGCTTTTTTGAGATATAATTCACACATAGCATAATTTACCTGAAATATACAGTTCAGTTCTTTTACAATATTTAAAGTTTATGAAGCCACTATCAAACCAATTTTAATATATATGTATTTCTTAGAGACTTATTTATTTTTAAAAAAGGCAGATTCACAGTGGGAAGAGACAGAAATATCTTCATCTGTTGGTTCACTCCCCAAGTGACTGCAGTGGCTGGAGCTGAGCTGCTCCAGAGGCAGGAGCTTCTTCTGGGTCTCCCACGTGGGTACTGGGTCCCAAGGTTGGGCCATTCTCTGTTGCTTTCCCAGGTCACAAGCAGAGAGCTTGATGGAAAGTGGAGCAGCCGGGACACGAGTTGGCATCCATGTGGGATCCTGGCATGTATTAGGCAAGGATTTAGCCACTGAACCACCATGCTGGGCCCTAATTTTTTTTTTTTTCTTTAATTGGGCTGGTGCTATGGCTTAGCAGGCTTGTGCTGCCAGCATCCCAATTTTGGGTGCTGGGTCTGTGTTGCTTGCTCTACTACTGGTCCAGCTCTCTGTTCATGTGCTTGGGAATGCAGCAGAGGATGGCCCAAGTGCTTGGGCCCCTACACCCGAGGGAGAGACCTGGAAGCAGCTCCTGGTTTTGGGCTGGTCTAGCTCGAGCCTTTGTAGTCATTTGGAGGTTAAACAGTGGATTGAAGATTTTTCTCTGTTTTTCTTGCCCTCTCCCTCCCTACTGTCTTTTCAGTTAATCAGTCCTTTTTCTTTTCAGTATCTTTTATTATGCTGCGAAAGAACCTTGTCCCCAGTAACAGTCACTTTCTTTCCCCACCCCCACCTCTAACTCCACCTCCTGGTTCCTAGGCCACCACTCATCTTCCAGTCTGCACGATTCTTCTCTCTGGGTATTCCATGTAATTGCACTGTGAATGGCTATGACATTATTGGTGCCCCCCCCCCCCCCCTTAAGATTAATTTGAAAGAGTTTAGAGAGGGTGGGGGGAGGGATGAGAGATCCATCATTCATTCACAGTTTCATTCCCCAGGTGGCTGCAATGGCCAGAGCGGGGCTGGTCTGCAACCAGGGGCCCAAGGACTTGGATCATCTGCTGCTTTCCTGGGTCCATTAGAGAGCTGGCTCAGAAGTGAAACAGCCAGGACAGGAAGCAGTATCCATGTGAGATGCTAGTGTGCAGGTGGCGACTTTACCTGCTACACTAAAATGCCGTCCTATTTTGGCACTTTCTATGGCTACTTGTCTGGATATACCACCTTTTGCATAGCCACTCACCTGTTGATGGGCATTTGTGTTATTTTCATGTTTGAACTGTTACGGGTAATGTTTCTGTGAACAGTGGTGAAGGCCTCCATGTGAGCGTAATATCCTGTTCTCAGGTATGTACTTGGGAGTGGAATTGCACGTTTGTGTGGTTAACTTTTTGAGAACTTCAGGCTTTGTAACCCAGCTGTGCTATTTTACATCCCTGCCAGCAGGGTTTTTTTTTTTAATTAAAAATAATTTCTTGGGGTGGAGCATTAGCCTAGTAGGTGAATAGCCCTGTTCCTGTTGGGGTGCCTTGTTCAGTCCCTGGCTCTGACTCCTCACTGCTGCGCGCCTGGTGCTTGGCTCTGGCCAACGTTGTGGGTGTTTAGGGGGTGAACTAAGCAGATGGACACCTGCTCTGTTTCTGAAAGAGACACATTTGAACTGTCACTGCTGCCTCCCAGGGGCTGCCTTAGCCGGAAGTTGAGACAGGAGGCAGAGCTGGGCATTGCACCCAGGCTCTTTGGTGTGGGATGGAGCATCTTAACGGCTGGGCTGACACCTGCCTGTTTGCTTTTGGATCCAGGGCCCAGTCAAGGATCATATGTTACGTTTAGGTTTTATGTCTTTCAGTCTCCTTTTGTCCGCAGGAGTCGCAGCATCCTTCCTGAACTGACCTGTTTGCAGAGTCGGGACAAGTTGGTGTGCAGGACATCCCTCAGCTTGTCCCTGTCTCCTCACCGATGGTTTCAGGTTAGACGTCAGTGTCAGAAACTCTTCATAGATGGGGTAGTGACCTTTATGTCAGGTGGTACTTGATACCAATTGATACTCTTTGAATTTAGGTAGTTGAGATAACTGCCAGCTCTTGTCTTTGCAGTTAGCAACTGGTCTGGGGTAACATTTGAATCTGGGAATATCTCGCCCTCATTTGTTTTTGCACCACTGTCAATGTTCCTCAGTGGTTCTTACTGATTACTGAGGGCGTAGTGACAAGTGATTGTCTATTCTGTCATCGCTTCTACATCGCAAGCATCTGTGAAACTGAAGGTGTTCTGTAATTTCCATGTTCCGGGTGTAATAACTGTGCCTGTCGTCGCTCCCTGCTGACAGGCATCCGTGGTGGCTCAGTGTCCTGCTGACGTGCCTTACTCTGTGACACAGGTGGCTCCCACATTGACCTTGTGTTTTCTTCACCCGAGTTTCCTGTTTACTTTCAGGTATAGTCTGTGAATATGAGCATATATAAATGTGTTTTCCTTGTCTTTTATTTTTGCCTAAATGGCAATTTTTTGTCTAAGTTGTAGGTTAGAAATTTTCTGCCTCATTTTTCTGCATTATGTTTCGTCTTATAAATGCATCATGGTTTGTTTAGTATTTATTTTGGTGAGTATTTAATTTTAAATACTTTAAAACAACTCCTTTAGTGCCTCATTTTTTAAGGTTTATTTTTATTGGGCCTGGTGACATGGCCTAGCGGCTAAAGTCCTCGCCTTGAATGTGCCAGCATCCCATATGGGCACCGGTTCTGGTCCCAGTGGCTCTGCTTCCCATCCAGTTCCCTGCTTGTGCCTGGGAAGGCAGTTGAGGACAGCCCAAGGCCAGGGGACCTTGCACCCGTGTGAGAGACCTGGAGGAAGCTCCTGGCTCCTGGCTTTGGATTGGCGCAACACTGGCTGTTGTGGTCACTTTGGGAGTGAATCATCAGATGGAAGATCTTCCTCTCTGAGTCTCCTTCTCTCTGTATATCTGACTTTGTGATAAAAATAAAATGCATCTTTTAAAAAAATTATTTTTATTGCAATGTCAAATACAGAGAGGAGGAGAGACGGAGAAGAAGATCTTCCATCCGTTGATTCATTCCCCAAGCAACTGCAAAGCCAGGAGCCAGAAACTTCCTCCAGGTCTCCCATGCGGGTGCACCATCCCAAGGCTTTGGGCCGTCCTCGACTGCTTTCCCAGGCCACAAGCAGGGAGCTGGATGGGAAATGGGGCTGCTCGGATTAGAAATGGCATTCATATGGGATCCTGGCATGCAAGGCGAGGATTTTAGCCACTAGGCTGTTGCGTGGGGCCCTACTGCATCAGTGTTTTTAATGTTGTTATTTAATAAAATAAAATTAAAGGCAGAATTAGAGACCGAGATCTGCCATCCTTGGGGTTCACTTACCAAATGCAATGGCCAGGCAGGGCCAGGCTGAAGCCAGGAGTCTTGAAACTGCATCCTGGTCTCCCACGTGGATGCCAGAAACCCAAGTACTTGGATCATCTTCTGCAGGAAACAGAATCTGAAGTGAGACAGCCGGGACTTGAATTGATGCTGTGCTGTGGATGCCAGTATTGCAGGCAGAAGCTTAGCTCACTGTTCCACAGCATCTCTTTCCCCCACAGAAGCTGTGTTGGGCCCTTTGTGGACCAACCTCCAAACCTGTGAACTAACTACACCTTTTTTTTTTTTTAAAGATTTATTTATTTATTGGAAAGTCAGATATACAGAGAGGAGGAGAGACAGAGAGGAAGATCTTCCATCCGATGATTCACTCCCCAAGTGACTGCAACAGCCGATGCTATGCTAAACTGAAGCCAGGATCCAGGAACTTCTTCCAGGTCTCCCACACGTGTGCAGGGTCCCAAAGCTTTGGGCCGTCCTCGACTGCTTTCCCAGGCCACAAGCAGGGAGCTGGATGGGAAGTGGAACTGCTCGGATTAGAACCGGCGCCCATATGGGATCCCGGGGTGTTCAAGGCGAGGACTTTAGCCGCTAGGCCATCGCGCCGGGCCCTGACTACACCTTTTATCTTTAGACATCAGGTGTTTTCTTAAAGTAATAATAAACCCAACTAATGTGCAAAGCTAAAGTTATATTGCATTAGGGTAACATTTGAGAGGTAAAATTCTAATTATGCTGGTGGAATGGAAATAGAAGTCCAAGAAGATATTTCTGTTTTATTAAAAATAATTTGGGGAAGCAGAAACAGTGCTCCCATCTGCTGGTTCATTCTCTGAATTCCCGTCATGGCTGGGGGTGGGTGGCGATGGGAACAGGAAGCTCAAGTCCAGGTCTCCTACAGGGTGGAGGCACCCAGCCACTGAAGCCAGCCTCTGCTGCTCTCAGGCTTTGCGGGTATCTGCTGTGCAGAGCTGGAAGCAGATGCTTGCGCCAGGTTCTCCCATATGGCATGTGGGCATTTTACATGCATCCCCAAGGAGGAATGGAGACACTCGGTGGTGCCAGGATTCACACCAAAACTGGACCCCCATTGTGAGGTGCAGTCTGACTGGTATGGGGATTCAGTTTCAGTGTGAAACCTGGCCTCAGGTGATCTGAATTACCTCCACTTAGATTTTCAACATTTTTTTAAGGATACGCAAGGGCAAGAAAAGTTGAAAATGATGTTTATGGTTTTTGGAGGAAGTATTTTCCATCCATTACTGACTTCCCAAATGGCTGCCAATAGTCCAGTCTGGGCCAGGAGCCCAAAACGCTCATCTCCATGAATGATAGGGGCATCTTCCGCCTTTCCCCATGCATATTAACATATTAGCATAGCAGCAGGGAGCTAGACAGGAAACAGAGCCACTGGAACTCAAACTGGTATGTGCCATGTTAATATCACAAGTAGTGGATTAACCCCTATGCCACAAGCCTGGCTCCTACACCTTTCAGAGGTAATTCCCTTTATCTTTTCTTTATCTTTTCCCACCTGTACATTCCCTTTATCTTTTTTGACAGTTTAATTCCTTGTCAGGGCTGTGTGGCCTTTTTTTCCCTTGCCCCTCATCCTATGTGAGTGTTATGAAACTGTGACTTGGTGAAGGGGGTGTGGGTTTTAGAACCTTGGCCAACTTGCTTTCATTCCCTCCTTTTATGTGCCCTTTATATGTGAGGCTCCAGGTTGACTCCCAGCTTGTCTGATGTTGAGACTTGGAATCTTCAAGTTCTCTGTCGTGTTCAGGAGCTTTGTAAATCTGTCCCTTTCTGGTCCATTTCTCTGCAGTAGCTGGTGGTCAAACCCGAGATAGTAACTATTGGTTGCTAAGGAGTTTTGATACCACCTTTCCCAGTGACATAATATACCCGGTTGACCTGTAGATGCCACACCTCCTTGGTTGGAGTCTTTGTTAGCACCACTCTGTATGTGTGAGGGGTTGGTTGAGAAGTGGGATTCTGTTCCTGGTGGTCCTCTTGTCAGGTTTGCTGGTTGTCATTTTTAGCAGCTCTCTTATCTGATTCCATAAGTAATTGCTGTGCACATACTATTAGTTGCTGGAACCTCAGAGGTGTGCCAAACACCCTTGCCTTTGCCAAGCTGGTGTTTATATTTAAGGAAACCCTTTTAAGGATCATTTTTAGGACCGTTTTCATAGTATCTTCCATTCTGGTGGGCAGACCATACGGTGGATCGTACGACTTACTGAGGAACTCTTCGGTGGAATCCCTCAGCTGTCTCAGTCTGGGAGTTCCCTGTGACTGGAGGGCTTTGCTTTCTGCAGTCAAGGCTGCCCCTGGGTGTACGTGGGTTGGAGAGGCCTGAGTGGTGCTTCAGTTCTGGGAAACTTAGAGGAGCCACCTGCTGAGGTGAGAGAGATGTAGGGAGGGAGGACTGTTGCTGGGCTGCTGAGCCATTAGCACCTGTCACTTGTATAAGTGCTCCTGAGTGGCAGGGAGGCAGGGGTGCTGGCTGCTGCAGAGCCTGTGCAGGGCCGAGTCGGTTTTCGCAGGAGCTGCTGCACAGTCCTAACAGAAGAAGGCGCCGAGCAGAACCCTGGGACTCAGGTTCTTCAGATAATGTCTTTTCCTTGGGCTCTGACACCACCCGGGGACGTCACGTCTTGCCTTGTCTGACCTTGCTTGTGGCCGAGATGTGTCTTAGCCACACTGTCCACAGCCCACTATTCAGATTGAGATCTTTGCAGTGGAAATGAGCCTGGAGCTGTCCCTCCGTGGCTGTAAGAAACGGCACTCCCATCTGCAGGGGAACAGTTTTAAGAAGCACCTGCAGCAGCTGGCTTGTTCTGGGGCCTTGGTGGGACTGCACAGAATAACAGTGAGGATGCAGGGCCCTGTGCAGGCTTTTAACTTGCCTGCAGCAAGAACTCTGGGGAAATCCATGGAAAGAGACAGCCCAGCCCAGAATCTGCTGCTAAGGAGGGCCCAGTTAGGAAATAGCCCACAGAGCAGGGCAGAAGATGTTGTGGAATCAGTTCATAGCTCATAGGCTCCATGCCCATCCCCGTTATGTTCCCCCACTTTGGCACCTCCAGCCTGTATGGCAGGTGAGTTTGGAAATTGAGTTGCAGCTGAATGAGTTGATGTCAGCTTCAAAGTTCATTGGTGTTTAATTAGAGCCATCCAGAGGTTGAACTTGCTCCCAGGAAATTATTCTGACCGAATAATTAAAGAGAATAAAGGTTAGGTTTTTGTTTCTGGCTAAGGCTGAGTTGAATTCAGCATCTCTAAAAACATGAATTCTATTAACCTTTCCAGAACCACATAAATTGCCTTCAATTAGTTGTCATTCTAATTAGAGTCACACAGAGAAGCCTTTGTTTATTCTGGGCGGCTGTTCCTTTTTCCCCTCTGGAGCAGGTCCTCCTGAAGAAGTGGCCGTTTGGAAAATTGCTGTTTTGACGTGTGTGAGCTCCCTTCGTCACAAACATGGAGAGGCTGGAGCTGGAGGAAGTGGCCTCGAATGTGATCGCAGGGCTGGCCTCCGTGTCGGCTGTCGCCAGCTGGATTCTGAGGTTTGTATGGCACTTGTAAATGTGTCTCAGAGCTGTGAAAGGCAAGAACTGAGGTCACCCAGCCTGCCCTGCCAGGCTCCGGCAGGCACCTGCAGAGGTTTGAGGGTGCACGGGTCAGGCTGCTCCTGTGCTATACTTGGTGACGCTGTCATCTTGCTCACGTTGAGCCTTCACACCTCAGGTGCAGGTGGCCGTGCGGAGGGGTGGAGCTGAGCCTCATCCTGAGTGTCTGCAGTGTCCGTCTCCTGCAAGCCAGCACTCCGAGGCTCCTGGTTAGTAGTCACCTCCAAAGGTGGGTAGGACTGTGCAATAAGGCTATGAGTTCCCCCTCTAGGGGTTTACCTGTACCTTGTCATCTAGCATATTTTCCTGTTTGTTTTCCAGGCTGAACATGGATGAGACGTGTTACAACCCAGGCAGACTGTAAGCTAATGCAGGATTCCACAAGGGGGCAGCTGCAGACCCCTGGAACCTGAGAGGTGAAGGTAGGCTCGTCTGTTGACTAGCTGTGGACAAAGCCAGCAGCACTAACCTTCCCCTTCGCTTGTATATCTTTGGAACTCTGGTATCGGCTGGTCTTTGCAAAGCTACAAGCTTGGAGGCCCCTTGGTGTCGTCTGACATTTGGGTAGACGGTGTTGAAAACAGGTGTGTTACTGAATGAGGTGTGCTTGTCGCCACGGCACACCAGGAGCAATCTGTGACTCTGGTCTTTAGGGAGGAGAGAGGTTTGATTTGCATTGCTTACCAGCAGGGAGGCAGATAGGAACCAAGTTTGTTTCCCCAACTAGTCTTGGCAAGGAGTTGTTAGAGCATGTTTGCATGAAAGAGGGAAGGAGTGCCCGTGCTGGTTGGCTTTGAAGTTCCTCTTCCGTTTGAGTGTATCTGAGGAGACTGGGCACCCACCCCTCACTTGGAAGTATCTTCCTCTCGGTGCTGGATTCTTTGCTTCTGCTGAACCCGAAGGCTTAGCTCCTGGCTCACCTGGGGTCCTGCAACGATGAGTTGGACAGCTTGTGTTTAAGTCCTTGAGTAACTTTCCTTGGAAAATAGCAGCTTTTAAAAGATGTGATCAGAATGTGGCTCAATCTGTTGTTGCAGAATACATTAGGGGGATTTCCGGAAGGAACTGGGAAGCCTCGTAGGATGCCTCTGAGTTTTGGGGTTGTTAAGAGGAGAGCTGACTCTGCCTGAGCAGACAGATGTGCTTCAGCCTTGCATCTGGGAGCAGCAGCCTGACCTGGCTTCCCCGTGTTACCAGCCCGCCCAGCTGCTTCAGAGTCACTTCCTGAAGTCTGGCTGCATCCTTAGCTGTCCTCGTTTCCCAGCTTCTGGTTGTCAATGCTCCTCTTACGGCTTCCTTTTGGCTAGCACATGTGCCATTTGTCCATTCCCCGGGGCTTGGCCATGAGAGGACCTCAAGTGACCTGAGTGCAGGACCCTTTCTCCCTGTTGGACTCGGACATACACCTGGTTCTGTCAGCATTCATCCTGCAGTCACTGTGTCAGATTCCACACTGGGCAATAGGAACCCAGAGAAAGAACGCTCTAGAGGCGTGCCTGGGCCCCAGCGAGGGGAGGGGGCACGACGGCAAGGAAGATCTCAGAGTGCCACCACTGAGGCTGCCCGCTGGCTAGGTAGGTGAGTGGTGGCAGGGAACAAAGAGAAGGAAGGCAGGATTCCTAACTAGACAGAATCTAACCTTAAGCCAATACAGGATTCTACAAGGTAGGCAGCTGCAGTTCTCTGAAACCTGAGCGGTGAACGAAGCCTTTGGGGCCAGGTGAAAGGGCTCCGACTGGCCAGGAAGCAAGAAAACTTACAGGAAGGAGAGAGGAAGGGACAAAAGAAGGATGGTAAAGAAGCAAAAAGGAATCTGGAGTGGTGCCAGAGGGGTTAGGCTTTCCGGGAAGGCACGATGCCCAGTGTGACACAGCCTGAGATCAGGGCAGTTGGGGTGGCTGGGGATGCGGGCCCCAGTGCAGTCATTGTCCTTCCGGGTTCTTGCCCCCTGGGTAAGAATTCTAAGAGGTGTAATATGTGCAAGGAGGAGCCGAGTTTATTTACCAGTGAGAGAGCGTACTCAGTCCCATGGAAGTGTGGGCTGCCCCACATGCAGAAGCGTGTGTCCTGGGAGGCCAGAGGGTTATGCCACAGGGGGCGGGAGGACCCCTCCCTGAGGTGTGCTTTCCGCCATCATTGCCACTTTTAAGGGTGCCCCACTAGGAGGGAGCTAGAGTCAGGAGTGGAGAGGGCCCTGGCATGCAGGAAACCGTCTGGCAGTTTGGTGGCATTTCCACATGGAGTGGCATCTCTTCCCTGCTTGTTTTGGGTTGAGAAACAGGGCTTTCCCAGGAAATTAGGCAAATGGTTTTGATGGCAGGATTTGCCAGGATTCCAGCTCACTTAGGCCTCACCAGCTGCCTGCCTGATCATAACCATGTTATGTAGATACGTAATCCTGATGGTGACCTCGGAGCTCACTCTGCCAGCACTGCTGGTCTATCTGTGCCCCTTTGGCTGTGGAAGGAGTGGCAAAGAAGAGACCCTAGCATTGAATGGGAATGTGGAGGAGTGAAGGATGCTGCCAGGACCCTGAGGCGAGTGTGTTCCTGGGAAATCACTTGTGCTTTGTTCCCAAATCCTGGAGGAGCTTCCTTGCCCTCTCAGGCAAATCCTTGTGTTTAAGTTTGATAATGTTTAATAGGAAATGGAATTAATTAATATAACTTAATTAAAAAGTTTCCTTTTATTTTAACATGAGGGTTTCCCATAGAAACCACTTCAGCTTTGAATGGCAGCCTTATCACTGGAGCAGCGTGCAGGCTCTGCTGGCAGTCTGCTCATGGCTCCTGCCTTGAATGTAAACACCCTCGTGGGGACAGGGATCTGCAGGAGGGGCCATGACAGGAGCGTCTGTTACTGTCAGGCGCCCTGGACCTGGGGCCTGGCTAGAGACTGAAACCATGAAGTTGTGCTTTGGGGCAGCACAGATAACACTAATCTCACTACACTCACAGGAGGAAATATTTCCACAGAATCGAGTAAAGCTGGCCATGAGGGCCTCTGTGTTTTGTTGTTTGTGCAGGCGTTAGTGTGCCTGCGGGAGCTGAGGCGCCTGTGGGGCCCCAAGGGCTCCGCTCCAGCCCCTTGTTGACCAGAGGGGTTGGGGGGGGGGTGATGGTTGTTGGGTTTGTGCCTCGGGTGACTCATGCCCCCAGGACAGGGCTGGCCCACTGAGTCAGGGGTAGGGGGGTTCACACCAAGGCTCCCAAGACCTTGGAAGGTGCAAGTCCTAACCGAGGGGTCTCTCGGCTTACTCGGAGTGAATTCATATTCTGACAGATGTTTCTGCTAGTAGTTCAAACGATGAGGTAGACACTGCTAAGGAGTATACTGAGCGCCCCAGGCAGTGGATTCTGCTGCTAAAGCCAGTGGCCTGTCCCTTGTGGGGGGCGGCGGGGGGAGCCTGATGCAGCAGCCCAGCAGGGCGCCCAGGCAGGGTGAAGCTCTTGTTTTCCTTTCGTTGATTCTCAGTGAAGGGAGGCGATCCGGCTGAGCGGCTTGGGGGGGACAGAGGGAGTGCAGTGACACCTGGCAAAGGAGGGGGAGAAAAGGAAGGAGAGTCGGACGCAGGAAAAGTGCTTCAAACCGGGAACGCACGGGAACCCTCCTTCCATCTGTACCGGGAGAGATGAGCATCCCTAATCCCGAAGGCCCGGAAGTTCCAAACTTTCAGTGCCAACATGGTGCAAAAAAGTTCCACAGCCAACATTCAGGTACAAATATTAAATATTAAATTCCCTTTGGGTTGTTTATGGAGAGCATATGAATCATTAAATGAGTTTCCTGTTTAGATGTCTGTTTAAGTGCAAATATTCTAGATTCTGAAAAACAGTCCCAAACCTGAAACACTTCAGATAAGGGATAGCTCCGCTTGGACCAGGCACCTGTCATTGATTGTGGAGGAGTGGACCGGACTCCGGGAACAAAGGCTGGTCACGTGATTCAATTAATGTGGCATGTGTGTGCGTCAGGTGTAGTGTGAACGTGTACAAGTATTACATTTGCATCCAAACTTTTTTAAGATTTGCTTATTTTGGGCCCGGCGCGATGGCGCAGTGGTTAAGGTCCTCGCCTTGCACACCCAGGATCCCATATGGGCGCCGGTTCTATCCCAGCAGCCCCACTTCCCTTCCAGCTCCCTGCCTGTGGCCTGGGAAAGCAGTCGAGGACGGCCCAAAGCTTTGGGAACCTGCACCCGTGTGGGAGACCCGAAGAGGCTCCTGGCTTCGGATCGGCATAGTATCGGCCGTTGCGCTCACTTGGGGAGTGAATCATCGGACGGAAGATCTTCCTCTCTGTCTCTCCTCTCTGTATATCCGCCTTTCCGATAAAAAAATAATAATAAAAATAAATCTTTAAAAAGATTTGCTTATTTCATCTTTATTGGAAAGTCAGATATATAGAGAGGAGGAGAGACAGGAAAATCTTCTGTTGATTCACTCCCCAAGTGGCCACAGTGGCCAGAGCTGCGCTGATCAGAAGACAGGAACCTGAGTCTCTTCCAGGTCTCCCATGTGGGTGCAGGGTCCCAAGGCCTTAGGCCATCCTTGACTGCTTTCCCAGGCCACAGGCTGGGAGCTGGATGGGAAGCGGGGTCATTAGAACTGGCGCTTATATGGGATCCCAGTGCGTACAAGGCAAGGACTTTAGCCACTAGGCTACTGCTCTGGGTCCACATCCAAAGTTTTTAAAACAACGGAAAAAAAACATGGAATGGTCTCAGTAGTGCATTTAAAAAAACTTAGTGATTTAAAAAAAAGGATCTTTTAGAGCTTAGGTCTGGAGCTCTCAGGTTGTCCCCTTGTCCCTGCTGTCACTGATGCTGAGCTCTACAAATGCCTCACATTGACCACAGCACACAGCTAGCAGAGGAAGAGCTGAACAGCTGCAGACACCACCCCGTGCACACGTTCCACTCGGCCTGCAGGTGGAGCACTTCAGTTGCATGGGGTAGAAATGGTAAGTAACAAAAAAAAAAAAAAACCCTTGCAACCACCATCTGGTTTTTTGTCTCTGAGTTTTGTCAAACAAATATGAAAATGCAAAATCCAAATTGTTGAGATTAGCTTTTGTCACCATGTTTGTGTGTGTCAGTGATTATTCCTTTTTATTACTAAGTAGCAGTGTTCCACTGGGTGGAGTGCATGGTTTTTTTTGTTTGTTTGTTTGTTTTGGTAATTCTTATTTGAAAACTTGGGATGCAATGTAATACTTGTACACTTCGTACAATAGCTGACACAGTGACTAGCTTTTCTGTTTCCTTCTGTGTGTCTGGAGGCTCCACCTGCCCTGAGAGAAGCATAAGGAACGCAACAGCTGCCCCACGGTGTCGTACAAGACAGATCCCGTTGCGTCTGTCTCACTGGGGTTGACGTCTGTTGCCCAAGCTTCCTTCCGTCCCTTCCGTCCCCTTCCCCCACCCTTGCTAGCCTTCAGTAGTCACTATTCCAACTCGAATTGACTTGTTCTGGAAGACTTATTAGAAAGAGAGGGAAAGAAGAGTGGTTTACTCCCCAGAGGACTGCACTGGTTGAGGCTGGGCCAGATGGAAGCCAGGGGCCAGGCACTTCTTCTGAGTCTCCCGTGTGAGTAGGGGCCCTAAGATTTGGGCCATCCTCTGCTGCTCTCCCTGGGTCTTCAGCAGGAAGTTAGACTGGAAGTGGAGCAGCTGAGGCCTGAACTGGTACCCATATGGCATGACAATGTCACAGGCTATAGGGATTTACCTGGTATGTCCCAATGCTGGCTTCCAGGAAGACTTCAATTATGAAGGAGTGTGTAATAATTGTCTGTCTTATTGTATTTAATGCAGCAATCCTCAGTACTGTCTGTTTATCTTAAAATCTCAGGATGTCATTCTTTTTTCATGATTGTATAATATTCTATTGTGTTAATGTTATATTTCCTTTATTCAATCATTTATCAGGTCAACAAAGTTGATTCCATTATCTTAGTTATTGTGAGCAGTTTAGTATACTGGGTCATAGCAGCCCTATTTTTAGTTTTTTTTTTTTTTAGGAACTTCCATAGAGTTCTCCATAATGAGTGTATTAATTTTCATTCCTGCCAGCAGTATATCAGTTCCCTCTTTCTCTGCAGTTTGGCCAGCATCTGTGATTTTATTTTTATAAAATAGCCTATCTTGAGTGAGCTCCCTTATTCTGATTCCTGATTTGCATTCCCTGCTAGCTGGTGATCTGGGCATCTTTTCAGGTATTTGTTGGCTGTTTTTCTTTCGTTGAGTAGTGTCTTCAGATCCTTTGCCCATATTGTAACAAAATCGCTTGGTTGTTAGAATGTTTGAGTTCTGATATTTGGCCTTTGCCAGATGCGTAGTGTTATGGTTTAATGGGACTTCGCTGCCCGGTCTGATGTTAATAGTTAAATGGCCGATGGGATACAGACATGAGCCGGTGCAGCAGAGTTGGGCCCTTCGGGAGGTCCTGAGGTCCCAGGGGCTTTCCTTCAGAGGGGAGCTCCCGCAAAAGGCTTGTTATCTAAGCCAGGATCAGTCCTCACTTCCCCTCTGCACCCTGGCCGTTATTGTCACCGCACCTCCATACATGCTCCACTTCGGCTTGCCTTCCCCAGATCCTGAACTGTGACCCACTAAACCGTCAGCCAAAACGAATGTCTTCCTTCCCACGAAGCTCCTTTTGGGTGATGTTGTTGTAAAATGCTGCAGTGCCATTACGGCTAGTCTGCATGTATTTTCCTCCGTCAGTCCATCGTCTTCTCAGGTTGTTGATTGCTTCTTTTGCAGCAGCTGCTTTGATACAATCTTGTTTGTGCAGTTCTGCTTTGTGTCACCTGCATTTCCGGGATCATTTATCCCTTGTCGCCCATACCAATGTCCTGAATTGTTTTCCTTATGTTTTCTTCTAGTAGTTTCATAGCTTCAGGTCTTGGATCCAATTTTAGTTTTTTCTATGGAGTAGGGGAACAAGGGGTCAGGTTTCAGTCTTCTGCATAAGAAGCCCGATTTCCCAGCACCAGGATTGCAGAAAGTGTCCTTTCTCAGATAGGTTTCTAGTATCGTTGCTGAAAGATCAGCAGGCTGGAGGTGCATGGATTAATTCCTAGGGTCTTTATTTTGTTCCCTTGCTCTGTATGACTGTTTATACTATTACCATGCTATTTTGGTCCCAAGAACTCTATAGCATCTCTTGAAATTTGCTTTTTTGATATCTCCAGCTTTGTTCCCTTTGTTTATGATTGCTTTGACTGTTGGGGACTTCTGGTCTCCATGTGATTTTTAGGATTTTTTTTTCAAGTTTTATAAAGAATGTTGTTAATGGGACTGGCACAGTGGGTTAAGCTGCTGCCTTTGTCATCTGTGTGCTGTGTAGGAGTACTGCTTTGAGCCCTGGCTACTCTGCCGCTGGTCCCGGTTCTCTGCTAGTGAGCCTGGGGGCAGCACATGATGGGTGCATTGGAGTCCTTGCCTCTCTCATTTCCGAGATTTATTTGGTTCAGGAGCTTTCTCCTTGCAGCATCTCATTGGCATTGATAATCCCATTAACATGTATACTCACGTTATCATTGTGCTTATCCTTGTGATTATTTTTCTGAATTCACCAGGCATTTCATGATTTGCCTTTTCACACTTCCAGTGGCCCTACTGTGGAAACCCGACTGTCTCCATCACTTTCAACAAGTGGTTTCTGTCGCAAAAGGCTTTTCCTGAAGATGCGTTTTTAGGTGTCAGTTTGGGAGGCTACAGTGTGGTCTCCTAACTTCTTGCACTGTAATTGACAGCACTGTGTGAGTGGATGGAGCTCCTGTCAGGCTGTGTTGGTGTTGACCTTACTTTAACAGCTTTAAGCTGGGGGCTGCGGGAATGCAGGCCTAGGAGGGACGTGCTTGGGCCCTGGCACTGGCAGGAACAGGTAGGTTCCCACATCAGTCTTCATCGTTTACCTAATGTCTTGGCACCCACCTACCTTTTCACTTCTACAGCAGACAGTTCTCTGTGTGAGGCCATCTCAGATGGGGGGTGGGGGGCAGTGCAGTGCAGTAGTCCTGTGACCTGCGATGTCTCATGCTGGCTCACACTGCAGGAGCAGCTATCGTGGGATAGGGCTACTTCGCAGGTTGCTCTGGGCTGCCTGATGCTTAGTCCAGGAAATTGGGTCCATGGGTCTCCATGGCACTGGGGGCAAGTCCAGTCGCTCCTTGAAGCCAGCACTGAGTTCCAGGATGGGATCCTGTGCTTACTTTGGTTGTCTCCTCCCCCGTGGCTGCAGTTCTGCCCCCTTGCTCTGTGGCGGTTGTGAAGGGTGCCCTGGCTGGCTCTCGGCCGGATTCTGTCTGTCTGTGGAGGCATGTACGGCATGTGTGAGCCTGGGGTTGATGGCTGGACAAACCACGAGTGTTTAAACCAGGACACGTCTCCACATCTGACTCCGGGACAGAACAGAGGATCGTGCTGGGGACACTGGTCCAGGGTGGGGGGGTTTTTAGCAGATATGTGAACTCTTGCTCCCCCAGCAGTTGGATTTTTTATAAAGGTCTGAATTTCTGATTAAAACAAAAACAAAGGAGAGACAGAAGGATCTTTCATCCACTGGTTCACTCCCTGATTGGCTGCAGTGGCCAAAGCTGAGCTGACTTGGAGCCAGGAGCCTCTTCCAGGTCTCCCAGGACAGCAGCTGGGATACGAGCTGATGCCCATATCCCAATGGATGGAAAGAAAGGATTTAGCCACTAGGCTATCACGCTGGGCCCAGTACTTGAATTCTTGCAGTGTGCTGGAGACAAGGTTGTTATGTAGGAGGTCCTGCATGGAGAAGGCGAGCCCTCAGTGTGCATGTTTCACAGGCCTGGGTAGGGGGTTTCTTTTAAGATTTATTTTCATTGGAAAGTCAAATATACAGAGGAGAATCAGAGGAAGATCAGGCTGGAGCTGAGCTGATCTGAAGCCAGGAGCCTCCTCCAGGTCTCCCATTTGGGTGCAGGGTCCCAAGGTCTTGGCCTGTCCTCAACTGCTTTCCCAGGCCACAGAGCTGGCTGGGAAGCGGGGCTGCAGGGATTAGAACCAGCATGCATATGGATCCTGGCACATGCTAGGCTACTGCACCAGGCTCCTGGGTAGGATTTCTAGTATCTGCCTTTTTCTTTCCCAAGCTGAAGGGATGTCTCCTATGCTGTGCTACTTGGAGCAACTCTTCCTGCCTCTGTCAATATGTCTGTTATACTAGAACCAGTTAATGTGGCTTTGCATTTGTTTTCCTTAGCTCTTGTGAAGGTGTTCTGGTTCAAATTCATCAGCACAGACAATTCTTGGAATGTCTTGCTTAGCTTCTCTCATCACTCCCACCAAGGCAGCTTCCCAGGTCGACTCCTACATGTTTGCTCTTCAGCCGTTTTCAAAATGTGTTTTTGTCCTTACTCTCTTCTTTGCAGTTCTAAGTTGGAAAGCTAATTACTTCTGCAAGTTTCTACACTAACACAATATTATCTTGATTCAAAGTCTAATTCATCATTATGTCCATGGAAATGTTTGTTTTCTGGGTTTCTAGATGTTTTATTAAGAAGGCAATTTGCATTGTTTACCAGGTTTGTTGTGGGGCCTATCAGCTGTTCTGTGACAGATGAATGGACAGGTAACAGCAAAGATGAGGAGCCAATAATGGAAAGCCCATCTTACTAAAAGCTGGGAGTGTTTAGGATAGTCTCAACCTTTCTTTCAGAAAAAATTTTCTAGTGTGTTCAGGTGATAAACAGGCCTTGTGGCAGGATCCCAAGGATTAAGCAGAGTGAGAGAAAGGGGAGACAGGAATTAAGTTACAAGGAGGCTCTTCTTCTATTACATGCAAGAACAAATAAAAAATCCTCTCCTCTCATGTGGTAGAGCTTTTACTGGCTCACTAAGTTTCCTTCTCAACTGTCATCTTCCAGTACTTGAATATTGATAGATCCTAGGGATATAAAAGTCACAATACTAAAGAGACAAAGGAAACATTTTGATTATTTTTTAATCTTCAAAATTTTCTGCCATGACACAGGAATGCATGATAGAAATGGCTCAACATCTTCACATGAAACACTTGGATTCATTTTCATTCACAAGTTTTTCTAAAAACCACTAAAATTTCATAATCCTACCCACTTTCAACCTTATCACAGATTTAACTGACCATTAAACAGTAGTTACCAGCGTCAGATAGCTGGAATGCTTTCTGCAGATTAGTAGTGTCTTTTGAAACTACCACCCAAGAGTATCATGATTATGTATCTGATTGTATTTGGCAACCCCAGAGGTGACTGCTGTCTGAAACCAAACTCCCTGCTCAGGATGGAGAGCTGATCCTCCAGCTGCTTCAGTAAATGCTCGCTCTCCTCCTGGAATTGCTTGTTCATTCCTTGTATTTTGCTCGCAGGGAACAGCACATGCGGACCTGCTGACTGTCCTCACTGCTAACAGGTGGGTATATGCCTGATATCTATTGGTGCTCATGTTAAACTATGTACAGAACATATGGGTAAAAACTGGGTTGCTTGGAAGCTATCTCTTTTGAAGAGAACTAGTTTGAGGTTTCTTTTTTGAACAGTTGTAAACAAAAGAAGAGATATACACAGACATACCTATACACACAGAGATTGACACTGAGTATTCTGAATGTGGTGTGTATCTTCTTATCAAGAGATACACATAGAAGAAGTGTTTCTCCACTTCCCCTTCACACACACCTACACCCTTCCATGCAGCGTGTGAATGTAAATGTTCTAAGTGTCCTTGGGAGTTCACTGGAGTTTTCATATTACCAAATGATGACGAAATACCTGATACGTGTTACTCCTGAGAAGATACTAGAAGGGAATGACAGTTCTGATGCACTTTGGAATGGCACAATCACGTAAACACTTGCATACTTAAGACTTCTGAATTCATCCAAAGTTTCTAGACATGATCCAACCAAACAGTTATCAAAACAATGCAGCAAGTTCAAAAATAAAACAAAACTTTTTGTAACCAGTATAAACAAATAGGTAAATGCGTATCTGTCAGTAATCATTTTTAAAGAAGGAAACAATAGTTGTATGACAAAATGTTAAGGAAAAAAAAACACCTTGCAACACACAACACATGCATTGCTCAAATAGCAGAAAGTAGGCCTACGGCACTTACAAGGCTTATAAGCAACTCTACCAGAAGGAAATGACTATATAGCATTATAGACAGTTAAGAATGCAATTTATAAAAAATTACTGTGACTGTTATTCACACTTCTGTAAAAAAGAATTTGTAATTTGAATCTTACCCCTCAGTATAATTTGTATAAAAGTTACAACTAAAAAAAACGAATTTCAAGCACCAATTCAATCATTTAAACTTCCTAAAGTTTGTTTCTCCTATTGGGGGAACAAATTATGGTGAAGGCTAAGTTAAAATTAGCCAGGTAATCCTTATAGTTTAGTTTAAAGGCATGTGGTTTTTTGTTTTTTTCTCTCTTCTAAACATCCAAGAATGGTTGAGGCCAGTGAAGGACTGACTCTTTGGCAGAATCCATCCTGTCAGTGGTTACTATACATGAAAAGCTCTTCATCAAACTGACAGTCGCTTGGTTCTAGGATACAAGAGATTCCCACCCAGGAACGTAAGGGATTGTTCCTCGTAATGATTCGGGAAAGGCAGCACCTATGCAGCAGACTAAGAAGCACATCTGGACAGCTACTGGTAGTGTTAAGGAAATGGCATTATTCAAGAAGGCAACACCACTGCACTAGGCAATAAGGTTTTTCTTTTTTGGAGTGGGAGAGTATCACTAAGAGCACATTTTCTTCTTTCTGGTTTCTGCATCAGGAACAAAGCGGCAGTCTGAGCCAGCAGATGAGTGGCAGTGTTGTCCTCAAGACCTGTTCTGGTAACAAGGCGGTTGGTTCTCCATCCATCCAACTGCTGCTTCTGGTTCCAGTATTTACAACACATACTAACTGCACAGCAATTTCCAAGAAATAATGTTTCAGTCTTCTATTATCAAGCTTGGTTAATTTTTAAAGCACATCAAACCAAACCCTTGGACTGAATTCGAGAGACTGAAGAAAACTGAGTGCATGGAACCCAAGATCTGTCGACAGTGACACTGCATCACTGGCCTCAACTTCCCCAGAGTGACATGCCGCTGAAGGCAGCGTTAGGACAGGGCCGGGGAGGCTCACTGCTCCTCCTGCCCCTCACTCAGCTCAATGACAGGCTCTTCCTCAAGGGGCTCCCCGAGCTCCTCACTGCCCTCTTCACTCCGCTCCTCACTGGGCTCCCCGGTCTGCTCCAGGCTGTTCTCCAGAAGTGGAGAATTGCTTACTCTGCTTTCCTCTTCAGCGGCTGCAGGTAAGGGCTGGGGGGCAGGCGGGGGAGGAGTAGGAGGCTGGATGGCATTTTCCATGGAAGACGGGGGTGCTTTGGGTAGAGTGGTATCCACTGCAGTCTCGTTCTGAGGCAAAGGTAACTTTTCCACAAGTTTCCACTGAATGATGCTCATGTCCTTTCCACCAGTTGAAATCAGGTGACTGTCATTATGAGTAAAACTGACATTGGTGACATGGCTGCTGTGGGCACTGTACTTGTGACTAGGAGCCTATATGAAAGACAGGAAAATCCAATCTATTGTTAATATACATGCTTCCAACAAACACCCATGACTAGGTAAGGGAGATTATTGAGTAATTAGGATTAAAAGCAAAAAGCATCAGCATCTAAGGATTCTGAAGTAATTTCTTTCACTCACAGCCCCCGTCCTCTCTGAACTGTACTGTCAGAGAAATTAACCTTACAAATAACGTGAAGTGACTGTCAAATAAAGGAATGAGAAACCAGTTTCTATTAAGTTGAATTTACCTTTGCTTTGGAGCACGGATACTGGAACAGATGAACTTTACAAAAGTCATCGGCAACAGCTATCACCTTCCTGTTATGGGATCGCACCAGCGCGTTGATGTCTGTCCCATCGGAGCCTTCTGGCCAGACACCTTTGACATGGAGGGACGGGGTGTAGAGAAAGTTAGCCAGAGTTGATCATGAGGATGTCTAACTGTATATATTGACTCTGTTGTGGCTATGTTCAAATTCTTAGTTGCCACTATTTCCTTTACGTTTTCTTCTCAACATTGTTCAAGCAAAACAATGGCATTTTATAAAAAATCAGATATTGGAGTCAAACCCAACTACTGGTTGCTACTGAGGCTAAGTTATTGCCAGTACTTCACTTTGACTCTCCTCAGCAATGTTAGGTTTAGCAAGTGCACTTTAAGTACCTTTTCAACAGACACTTCCCCCAAAAAACTGTAGATTGATTCTGACAAACACACTGGACAACTACTAGTCTAGCATGTTATTTCATGAAACATCCTTGAGAATATTGCTAATATCCAAAGATAAGACATAAAAATGTCTTATTTTTCAGGTAAGTGGAGATTCTCTCATTAAAGTAACAAAAGAAGTTACAGCTAGTGGCTAGTTTGAAATTTTACCTGGACTAATCAAATTGTTTACTGACAAATCAGGATTATTTTTTCTCATTTTTTCCTTGCCTATCAGGCTTTTCCATGTTGGCAGCACTTATGTCCAGGACAGTCCCCTACAATGGATTAGCTGTCACATACAAAGCATAAAGGAATGTTCACATTTAGGATCAGGAGGGGAGAGCCCAATTTTCAGAAGGTAAAGATACACTGCTGCAGGGAACAGGTAATGTATCTGCATGAAGAATTGTCCCATGCACTTCCAGTACCTTATTGCCCAGTGTATTTCTTTACAATGAGGCTTTATTACTTCAACTTTTCCACTGATCTTCTAACCCCCTTCAGGAGAACACTGAAGACCATAAAAGGCTGAGAAAGTTAAATCTAACACAGAGGAGAGATTCCTAGAAATGATGCTGGGACAAGTGGGACAGCCACAGGCAAAAGAGTAAGACTTAGTGGAAAAACTGGATCTGGAGCATATGCATTGGGGTAGTAGGTCGAGTCCCTGCCTGCAGCACTGACATCCCAAATGGCTACCTGTTCAAGTCGCAGCTAATGCACCTAGGAATGCAGAGAAAGATGGCCCTGGTCCTTGGATCCCTGCACCCACATGGGAGACTCAGAAGAAGCTCCTGACTTCAGATCGGCCTAGCCCAACTCTGTCGCAGCCACTTGGGGAGTGAACCAGTGGATTGAGGTTATGTCTCTCCTCTCTGTAACCTTGCCTTTCAAATAAAAATAGACCCTTAAGACATTGCTAGTGGGAAGATCCATGGTGGAGTTGCTTATAAAGTAGTCTAGCAGGCCTTCAGGTCAAACATAAAAATTACCATTGACCCAGCAATTCTGTACATGAGAAATTTTAAAGCATACCTATAAAATAACTTGCATGTGATGTTTTATATTACTTGTATCAACTAAAAAGTACAAACAACTTAGGTGTCATCAGCCACAAAAACCAAAATATGGCTACCTGCCACAACCCAGATGTAATCTGAAAATGTTAAAGGAAAGAAGCCAATTCAGTGGGCCACAGTGTTATACGAATTATTTAGGGTAGAAGGACTACCTTTTAGGGATGGTGGATTTTAGATTAAGATGTTCACTCTGGCTGCAGGACATGATTTTGACTCCTGACTCTACTTTCTATTCCAGCTTCCTACTAATATGCATCTTAAGAGGCAGGATGGGTGGCAGCTTTAACATCTGCGTTCCTGGGAGACTTGCACTGAATGCTGGCTCCTGTCTTTAGTGTGGCCCAATCCTAGCTATGGCAAGTTTGTGCAGAGTGAACTAGCGGGTATTAATCAAAATTTTTAACATAAAAAAATTCCTTCACAAATTGAAGTTTCAATTTTAACTTGGAGGACAAAACAATGGGAAAGCAATCTTTCCCTTTCTCTTTCCTATTTACTAAGGGACCAGAACTGGTTTCTGCACAAATTAGTTCAACTCTAGCATACTTCTCTGAGCCTAACATTCATACTGATAACATTAATGAAAACCTATAGGAACTGGTGTTGTGGCAGGGCAAGCTGAGCCTCTGTAGTGCAGAGATGTGGGATCTGAATGTTGGTTCAAGTGTTGGCTGCTCTACTACCCATCCGGTTCCATGAAGCTGGCTCAAGTATCTGGACCTCTGCCAACAACATGGGAGATCCAAACGGAGTTCTAGACTTCAGCATGGTGCAGTGCTGGCCTTTGGATTATATATCAGAATCCCATACATCACCTTCTCGTATCAGGTAATATACTTACCAAAGACTTGAAAGCCTAACACACAGGTGTATGTCGTCCAATCAATATCCTTACAATCAGATCGGTTTCTGATTAGCTTACAGCCACCTGGAATGTCCCCTTTAAAGTTGAAAACAGGAAGGATTATAATATTTGTGAGCGAATGTATTTGAAAATGCATCTTAACTTAAACTAGCGACGTTTACCTTTCATTTATGAAATATAAATTGAAAATTCTTAAGACATATACAAACACATTTTCACATTTAACAGGGTTTTATAAAATTTCAAATTTTCAGTCTGGAGCTGTAAATTAAAAATCACTCAGCAATCTTACCAAGTAACTTACTACTACATGTGCCTCTCGAAGCAGTGAACTGTGTTTGAAATTCTCACTGCCTAGCTGAGAGGCCAGTATTCCAACTCCACACAGCCCATTAGCAGCCAACACACATCTGTTCTCACTGATACTTACAGTACAGTATCTCGTAGTCCCCAGAGTTAGACATTATGTACTTGTTGTCTGGTGACCAGTCAAGGTGTGTGATATAGCTGGAATGTCCCTAGGGAATGAAAAGAACAACTCTCAGAAAGCAGTTAAGAGTTTTGAATGACGAGTAGGTTAGTCAATATTGTTTTCTGAGTACCAATTTGCCACATATGGCTTTCTGTTTAGGTTGTATTAAATGCTAAATTCTGTTGGCTTCACATGTGTTTGATGATTTCCAATGACCCACATCAGATAAATTACACAGATATCTGACAATTCACCAAAATACACAAATTCACTTTCCATCCAAACAGTTCAGGGAAAATATAAACTGTTTTGGTGCAAAAAATTTTTTGAAACAGTTGTTTTCCCCCCAAAAATACTTTTCCGAGAATTTTCCTCCAATGTATCTTGGGTGCAAGATTTCAAATTTTTTCACTGAATTAAAATCAATTTCAATTTCTATGAACTTTTGGAAATAACTTTGTACATCATCACATCTAAATCTCAGGGAAACCTCAATGACGATATTCACTAAGGCTCAGAGAGGTGGTACAACTTTTCTGAAAATTACAAGGATTTAATGGAATCTTACTCTTCCTGGCTTTCCAAAAGGGGTGGGGAGGGCAGGAATCGCCCATCTGGGTGCCACTTCGGGATCTGACTGCTCTGCTCCACTTCTGATCCAGCTCCCTGCTCGTGTCTGGAAAGGCAGTGGAAGATGGCCCAGTCGCTTGGGCCCTGTGGCAGTCTAAGGGATGAACCAGCAGATGGCAGCTGGCTTGCTCTCCTACTCTTCCCCCAATGAACTCTGCCTTTTAAATAAATCTTAACAAACAAGCCAAAAGGTGGAGCCAGGACATAAACTCAAGTCAAATGATTCTGGAGAAAATTAAAGTTAGCATTCAAACTTACCTTTCATTCATGTATGGAACAATAAAGATGAGAACAAAATAAAGTAACATTTCAAGAGAAAGTTACAGATAAATAAGGACCTTCATGCATGTTCAAGGTACTTGTGTAAAATAATGTAAAATGAAATACTCATGTAAAACCCTCTGTCACAGGAAATTTACTTGGGAAGCTTAATTACATAAAATAAAATCAGATTCATAACAGCACAGCTCAACCCTGTTCCCAGAATTTAAAGGATGTTGTGTGAACAAGTTAAACTCTCTGAACCTAAAGCTGCTTTCTGTACTTTTCCATGGCGTTAACTACAAAGCCATACTGCTTCCACAGAAAGTATGTGATACAGCCATGAATCTGTACTCTATAGGTTATGATCAAACCACTTTTTCTAGTCCTTTAGTAAATACCATAAAGATGGGAGAGACCACGTTTCCACTGGAGATCATGAGATGCAGCCCAGAGAACAAAACGTCAACAATGAATTCTAAACTAGACGAAAGAAGTGAGACTCGCCAACTGCCTCAGCTCAGGTCAAGCAGGGTGTGCGTGCTGCGAGGAACCCAGAGCCCAGCAGCAGCAGCAGCCTCTGCTCCCAGGGCTCCCAGGAGAGTGCAGGAGTGACAGGATGGACTAGTCCCGCTCCACATCTCCCAGCCACCAGGAGTGGGCAAGCTCATGAAGAGCCAATGATTTCCTGGGAGAAGTGTGGGGTTCTTTCAAAGTAATGGGTCAGGAACCCTGCATCATTGCATCCCTTGCATAATCATCTGCTCTTAACAGCTAATGGAGGCAGGTATGCATTTGTGCACTAATCTACACAAAGCTATAGTGGGTAGTGCTCTTCTACTATTGTAAATGACATGCTTTTCAGTGAGATGTGATTGTCATACTGTTGTTTTATAAGCAACATCTAATGCTATATTCCAGTGACAACAGTGAATAGCTAGTCTAAAAGACAGGCACACCAAATAGGGTGATATCCCGATTATAAAAGACTATTTGTAGCCTGGGCTACCTGAAAATAAAGAATCTTACCGGCCCCCTCTGTACCACTTCAAACAAACAAACAAACAAACCCCATTAACTGTCAGACTGTACTTTGTACCATACAGCCATATTTGTATTTTTTTTTCTTAAGTGGCAAAGATCCTCAACATTAAAATGGAATGCAAGGGTTAGAAACGGGAGGGAAAAGTAACAGAATATGAATGTTTGGTCCAAAATGCCCTAGGTCAGGTTCTTCTAGCACATGTTAAGAGATCTGTAGGTTTCATCAATAGCAAAACTTTTTCACTTTAGGAGACTAGTTTATTCATGTGGTTATACTACAAAGCAACTGGGTTAATCCAGATTGATTTCATCAGAGGGGTTGGAACTCAAATCAAGTGAGACAAATATTAAATCCCACTGAAGGCGGATGTTGTACAGTGGTTCAGAAGACAACTGGAATGCCTGCATCACATTTCTGAGTACCTAGGTTCAAGTCCTAGCCCTGTTCCAAGCCCAGCCTCCTAGCAATCTGCACCCTGAGAGGCCTGATTTGGGCTCCTGGCTTTTACAGGTCCAATCTTAGTTGTGGGCATTTGGGAAATGAACCAGTAGATCAAAGATCACTATCCTTTCTCTCAAACAAAATGAAAATATTTTTAAAAGGAGACTTTTACCTAGAGCATATGGCAAACAATACGGTTTGCTGTCAAGTGATCTGTCTTCAAAAACAGATTAAAGCTTGAAGGAGCAAATACAAAATACCACAACATCAATATTTAGTTATTTTTGATACAAGTAAAATTTGCTAATAGTTTCATAATTTAAGTTTATTTTACTACTTACAGTGCACTTTCCATATCTGCTATATTTTCTTCCATTTTCTGAGACTACATAGAGGTAAATAAAGTTGTCATGAGAGCCCACAGCAAGAAAGGTACCATCTAGAATGAAACAGGGAAAGTGTTACCTAGAGAAATGCATTGATGTGTGTGTATATGTATACATATATTTACAGTTATTTTATTGGATCTGTACTAAAAAGCATTTCACAAATAGTACTAAATCTCATTAACAAGTGTTACTTGGCATTGTCACTTAAGCATTTCCCTGTTACATCCCTTCTTGGAGACATGCACAGACCCTGGACTCTGTACTCATCTACCCAGCCCAAAGACAGAATGAGCTCTCAGAGCTAGCTGAGGAGCCTGCTTGGTTTGGCTAGAACCCATGATCTCCCTAGTTACAAGACAGGTTCTCTTGGGAAGGAATCATCATCTCTTACGATCTCCATCATACATATCACTGTGCTAAGCGTGAAATCAATGGACAATAAAGTCCATTTCATCTTTGGATTTTAATCTTTTCATTTGCTGTGGACCACTGGCTGTTACAGAAATATGTCTGCCTTGAGGTGAGTCTAGTATTATAGTTTCAAGTATATACCTTTGCCTTCCTTGCTAAATTCAGAGAACAGAATTCTGTGCCTTTTCTGAAATGACTGAGAAGCAATTAAAAAAAGTTCTTTGGACTCCATGGTGATAGAACTTTTGGAATGTATTTTTCAAATATTAAACTAACTCCAAGGAGGAACAGTGTGAACCAAATTCCCATTAATAACAGGAAAGGGTAATTGGAATATGATTATGGAAATTTAATTGACATTTTGAATCAAGTACAAAGAATTAATCATGGCTAAATGAATGTGCCAAACACGATGAATTGCTAAGTATTTTACCTAATTAAAAAAAGTGATTACTACATAATCAATAATACTATAACTAGATTCTAAAGAACTTGAAAGGCCTGTAATATTTGCAAATTTGAATATTACTAGAATTTCTTTTATATTCATATATACACATATAGGTTGCTAACTAGAGGTAACATTCAACCAAAGCCTTATTCAAAATTCTAAGTCTATGTAGCAAAATATGACATTCAACTGCAAATGAAGTTACAACAATTCTCAGCTTATGTTTGCTTCATGAGTTAGAATTATGTTTAACATAAGCAGAACTCCTGGAGTTTCCAGTGGCAGAATTAATCTAATGTTGGGGAAAACATACTCAATTCTTAGCACCACTAGAGAAAAAATAATGAGCTTTACTGAAGAGGCAAAAGCAAGCAATGTTTATGAAGCGCGCTGGACCCGAGGGTAGCAGAGTGGGCACATGTGCCTACCTACTGAATATCGCATCACAGAGAGCTGTTCATTTCCATCCGTGTGAATAGAGACTAGATCTCTGGTTTCTGCATCCAGAACAAACCACCTATTAAGAAGTAAAAATTAAAAATGAAAATTCTCTTCACATAGCAGCATTTTTATATATATAAAAGTTGATCTCCACTTTTTTCTTTCATGAAATTTCAATAGCCCTTTATGACATGTTCCCCTCATAACATGAAGGATAAAGTCATTTTGTGCTTTTAAAAAAAGATTTATTTTTATTGCAAAGTCAGATATACAGAGAGGAGGAGAGACACAGAGAAGATCATCTTCCATGCAATGATTCACTCCCCAAGTGACCGCAACAGCCGATGCTGCACTGAACCAAAGCCGGGAGCCAGGAGCCTCCTCCAGGTCTCCCATGCAGGTGCAGGGTCCCAAAGCTTTGGGCAGTCCTCGACTGCTTTCCCAGGCCACAAGCAGGGAGCTGGAAGGGAAGCGGGGCTGCCGGGATTAGAACCGGCGCCCATATGGGATCCTGGCACATTCAAGGTGAGGACTTTAGCCACTAGGCCACGCCGCTGGGCCTTATTTTGCTTTTTTGGGCCTAGAGTTGTTCTCACTCATAGTTCGATATTCACTAATTGCCAGCTATCCCTGCAAGGCACTGTTAACATAGAAAATATGTCAGGATTTGTGCTCCTGCAGATTACTACATTACAGCTGGGGAAAGGAAATGATGCAGCTGAAACGAAGAATCTTCGTAACAGTGATCACAGGAACTCATGGAAGGAAGAATGAGGGATAGCTAACAAAGGCAACCTTCAGGGAAGATACAGGCTACAGCTTGAAGGCTGGCACAGGCAGCCTAGGCACGATGCAGTTAGGACAAAGTAGGGGAAGGATCCTGGAGAGAATCAAGGAAGGAGGAAAAAGCAGTGACACTCATTAGGTGTGATTTCCAAGGGACCAGTAGGGGGCACTCTGCTCTCCCAATATTTCCAACATTCATATATGGAAGCTCTAAAATCTGAGGTTTTTTTCTTTTTTATAATAATTTTTTAAGATTTAACCATTTATTTATTTTTTATTGGAAAGTCAGATTCACAGAGAGAAGGTGAGACACAGAGAGATGCTCCATCTGCTCATTCATCCCCAAGCGGCAGCAACGGCCGGAGCTAAGCTGATCCAGAGCCAGGAACCTCTTCCAGGTCTCCCAAGCAGGTGCAGGGTCCCAAGGCTTTGGGCCATCCTCAACTGCTTTCGCAGGCCACAAGCAAGGAGCTGGATGGGAAGTGTAACAGCCAGGACAAGAACCGGCGCCTACATGGGATCCCATTGCATGCAAGGTAAGGACTTTAGCCACTAGGCTACTGTGCTGGACCCACAAGTTTAACTTTCTAAATCTATTCTTTGAAAAGCAGAGACAGTGACTTCCCACCCAATGGTTTACTTTCAAGTGCTTCAAAAGCTGGGGTTGGGCCGGGCCAGACCAGAGCCAAGACAGGTCCCAGGATGGAACCCGATCTCCACCTTCCAACTTCCCGAGTCATCACACTGTATATCTCAGGGTGTACATTAGTAGGAAGCTGGAATCGGAAGTCAAACTGGGATTCAAATTAAGCCATTCAACCAAGGATGCAGGTGTCCCATCCAGGGCTGTAAATGGGGGTTTCTCATTCACATTTATAGGGCAGTAAAAACAACCCAATGACCTAAGTCTCTACTTTATGGATGACTGCTGCCAGATCTTCTAGGAGCACTTAAAGGGACAGGTGCTTCAGAAGAGCAGAGCAGGACAAGATAAAGCTACCCAATGGAGCGCCGAGGAGGGCATTACAGACAGCATGCAAGGGGAGTCGCAGAGCTCACAGCTGAGCACTGCTCCTCTGAGGTTGCCATTTACTATCAAGTTCTATGGCTACACCATGAAACTCCCCTGTGCCAAGCTCCAAAACTGATGCCAAGTGAACTCCCTTTCAGAGCCAGGAACAAGGTGGCAATCCAGAGCAGCCTGAACACTCCTAAGAGCAATAAACAGAGCTACTCCACATCAGGTTCCACATTTTTAATGAGTTTTTGGAAATTTTATTACTTCCCTCTAACACATTTAAAAATCATTTTTATTCTAGACAAGGTCTAAGTAGGTTTAATCTTCTTAGGGAAACAGCACACTCTCATCTTTCTAGAAAGCCCTTAGAAAGCAACAAAAATTACCCACTGGTACAACATGTAGGAGCCCAAAACCCTCCATCATTTACTGGTTTATAGGAAATAATTAGAGAGAAAACCTTGCCTGCTTTTCCATTTTTGTAATTACACTATCAGAAACTACTTTTTGGGGAGAGGGCTGTGGCACAGAGGCTTAAGCCTCTGCCTGTGACACTAGAACCCAAATTGTAATGCCAGTTCAGCCAATCTTATATTGGAATGCTAGTTCAAGTGTCAGCTGCTCTGGTTCTGATCCAGCTCCCAAAAAATGTCCCTGGGAAGGCAGAAGATATCCCAAGCACTTGAACCTCAACCACCTACATGGGAAACCTGGATGGAGTTCCAGGCTTTTGACCTTGGCCTGGCCCAACGCTAGCTAGCTGTTATGGCCATTTAGGCAGTGAACAAGGAAATCTTTCTCGTGCATTTCAAATAAATATTTTTAAAAGATTTTATTTAAAAATAAGTCACTTCAAGCAAATAGTTTTTAGCAATGCAACAGGTGCTACTAACATGTACAACTTCACACAAATCTCCAGGAGTAATTTCAGAGTTCCCATCCTTCACACTACATGAGCTGTATCTACTCCATGTGCAGGACCTCTGCTCCTAGCCACAGATTCTCTAGGCAAAGGGGATTTCATTAAAAATAAAAACCAAACATTACTGTATTTAATCATATTCTTGTTTTAGTCTAGAGCACACACATTAGAACAAAAGCTTCTGCTGTACAATAATCTGAAGTCATTATGGGACTGTGTGGCCTGTAAGACACACTCAATCTTTCTAAATGGTACTGCTCAATATCAGAGATGGGAAATTTTTGGCCGAACATTTAAAACCAACTTGACTTGTGAGCTAAGTCCCAAAACACAGTACCATCGTTTGTTTTGATGACTTTTTTTTTTTTTTTTTTTTTAAGATTTTTCTCAACCTATGTATTTGAAAGGTAAAGTTAGGGAGAAAGATGTTTTGTCAGTTCCCCCTTGAAACAGCCACAACAGCTGGGGCTGGGTTGGAACCAGGAGCTTCTTCTGGGTCCCACATGGGTCCAAAGGCCTCAGCATCTGCTGCTTTTCCCAGGCCATTAGCGCAGCGAATCAGTGCACATATGGGATGTGAGCATTTCAAGCTATGTCTTAACTTGCTGGGACACAATGCCAGCCCTTTGATACATTATTTAAAAAGACACTGCACTGATCTCCTTAGCGGCAAATATTTTATAGCTGGGAAATTTCTTAAAATCCTAAATGTATCTTTTCATATCAATTATAAAAAGAATATATTACAATGTGAAGTGTGTCCTCTGGTAGCAGGCTTGTAAGCTCTATACTCTCTTTCCCCATTCCTTTGTGGTTTTCTACTGATAAAAGCAGGAATGTCAGTTTTAAAATTTACAAAGACATGAAGCCAAAAACAAGAAAATCAATTCAAATCTCTTGAAAGCCCTGAAGTCCTATGATATCCAAACATCTAACCAGATAACAAGCAATTAGTGACAGAATCAGGAGAGCTCCTGGCCTTTGCATTTTTTCTCTGCATCGTACCAGGAAAGGTGGAATCTCATGGAAAACACCTCCCAGCCTTCAACCCTTTGTCTTTGAAGACACAATGACATTCAGGGACCCAGAAAAGAAAGGAAACAGCAAAGGAGACAGGAGTATATGATCTAACTGGAGAGACAGACATATTAATACCAAATAGCAAACAAATATCTCTAAAACAGCCTGGGTGGCAAGGTTAATGCAGTTTGAGAGCAGGGGGAAATCCCTGGAGATCTGTGTGAGCTAGGATCTTCCCATGGATAAGCAGGACATCAAAAGGCAGATAGGAATAGGTCAGAAGTGGAATTTTCCTAATTTACTCCTCTTGCTTGATACAAGGTCCTCACTCTGCTCTGCCTCTTCAGCAACCAAATCCTCCTTCAAGGCCAGGTCCATTCATATTCCTCTGAAGTCTCTGACCACTCAAGTTCCCATTAATTTCTGAGTTCCAAACACTAGTGTGCATGCCTTTATTCAAGTAACACTGAACTATATATTATTTATCTTTTTATGAAGGATATAAGTGGGTTATCATCTACTTGGAGTAAGGACCATGTCTTCTATTTCTTTATAAAACACACTCTAGCATACTATTTTCCAAGTTAAAGGAACTGAATAAACTTTGAAGTGTGACTGAGAAGTGGAGTTCCCACAAGACAGGGAGATGCATGCTTACAGAGATGAGAGACGCTCGGCAACCTGGAAAATGAGCTCTGGAGTACCTACAGGTTGCAACAAACACCATAGGACAAATTATTCCAATTAGCTTTCTCTGTTAGTTCTGTCATAGAAGGAAGTCTCCATGATTTAAAGAGTCTTTGGAACAGAAGGAACATTTCTTAGACTGAGAGCCTTTAGAGTCAAATTTTTGTGGTGAGAATTTGGTAATGACTTTAGACCCGTTGCGGGCTTGCCCAAGACTGCAGCTACCATAATTGATGATGAGTTGAGCTGCATCACTTAAGTGTCTCTAGGCTGAAGGTCCTGTATTTCATCTCAAAAGTTAAAACTCTCTACCTCCCTACTCACCACAGTCACTTTCCCAGCATGCTGTGTGGTTAGAGATCACTTCCAGGACAGCTCAGAAAACTGAATTCTTCTTTGTTCCCTCTCTTCTGCGCACTCCCCTTTCCATTCCTATTTTGTTAAACAGATTATATTTTATATACTAACTCAAAGTCTGTGGATTTGACACATAAAAAAAAAATCTAACTATGGCTAGGAAAGGAATTCAGCCTTCTACCCTACTGATTGCTCGAATTCTGGGATTTCTCTGATTTATTTCCCTGCCTATAAAACATGTATGGCAAAAAAATTTCTTTAATATATTTTACATGTTGGTATGGAAATAAAACTGATCCAGCCAGGACCAGAGTAAACAGTTGTAAAACCGTCTGGAGTATTCTGCAAGTTATTAAATATCTGACATTCTGATGAGATAGTAAAAACATCTATAGTTTTGCTGAGGTCTAGAGAGGGTATAAAGATTAAATTTCTATGAAAAACTACGTTCAACAAAGCGGAGGCCAGCAGTATGACACAGGGAGTTAATAAGCCACTGCTTACAATGCTGACATTCCACATCAGAGCACCAGTTCAAGAGCGGCTGTTTTGTTTTCAATCCAGCTTCCTGCAGAAGTGCCTGGGAAAGCAGCATATCATGGCCCATGTATGTGGACCCCTGCCACCCATGTGGGAAACAGGCTCAGCCCCAGCTGCTGAAGGCATTGAGGAAGTAAACAGCACATGCAAGATCTGTCTTTTCTTCTCCATCTATATACCAGAATTCTTCAAAAGGCTCACGAAAAATGAATTTTGTGAAAAGCAATCCTTAGATATACAAAAATTTTCCACCCAAATAAACATCTTAAATTCTATTTTCAGTAGTGGGGTTATGATGAGTTAAGCCACCATTTGTGAGACTGGCATCCATGACAGAGTATTGGTTTGAGTCTTGATACTGCACTTGCAGTCCAGCTTCCTATTAATGTGCTGGGAAAGCAGAAGAAAATGGCCCAAACACCTGGACCCCTGCCTCTTATGTGGGAAACTGGGACAAAGTTCCTGGCTCCTGCTTTTGGTCTGGCCCAGACCTAGCTGTTATGGCCACGTGGGGAATCAATCAGTAGATGGATGATACCTGCCTATAATTCTGCCTTTCAAATAAATAAATCTTTGAAAAAATTCCCATGACCCTTTTGAAATATTCTTGTGTTACACAGTTACATTCATGTGAATGTATGGAATAGGCAAATCTATACAGAAAGTATATCTGTTTCCCAGAAAGTGGGTGGTATAATCAAAATTTCTGAAATTAAACGGTGAAAATGGTTATACAATGCCATGAACTAAACCAGAACCATTGCATGTTAAGGAAATACCATGTCTACATAGGGCTATGGATTTAATTTTTTCCTCTTTAAAGCTGGTATATCTGCAGTGGCCGCATCCCAAACAGGCCCTGGTTCATACCTCTACTAACCCATTTTTGATTCAGCTCCCTGCTGATGGCCAGGGAAAGCAGCAGAAGTATGGACTACATGGTCTCTCTTACTCGTATTATTGCAGTGACTTCAGCACTTATGATACATGTTTAGCTGCCAAATACACTCATCTGAAGTGAACTCATTTGTGGTTTTCTGAAACCTAGATCAATGATATAACTCATGTGTAAGATCTTTTCTGGTGGTGTTGTTAAGTAAAATAATTTCCTCTAAATCTTACTAAGTGACCCATCATATGCCTGTTTGTTCAAGTCTAATAAGTGCTTTAAAATCATGACTATTATTGACATGCATTTTGTGGAAAACCTGAAAGAGTAAAACCATTGTAAATTTGCAAATTATCACCAATTATTCTCCCAAGCAACCTGACTCAAATTCAGTGATTTGCAGAATTAAACAAACAGCATTTTTGTTAGACATTCACAATTCAAATATTTCCATAAAGACTTTGCAGTATCGAATTGGAATAATTTTCACTTTCCAGTAGTGCTATTTTGTACTCAACAGTCAAAGGCAAAAACCTACTAACAAAAACAACCTCTAAATTACTAAAACATAATTAGGCTTAAATAAGATGGAAAGCTGAGATTTCTAAGCTTATATACACAAAAGTTATTTATAAAATTGTGTCCACTATGGTTACCCTCCAATTGGAAATTAGCATTCAATACTTTTGGAGTTCAGCTTTAGTGAAAATTCACTTCATATCTTTTCTCTGCATCTTAAAATATATAAACATATATTACTTGACCTTATGAAGTATATCTTTAATGAGCATCTCTATAGTATTCAAAACACACAGGATGGCAAAAGCCACAGTACAATTTATAAAAGCCTAACTTGGTGTATCAGCAATAAATTCCTCTTCCCTGCCTAAAAGGTAATACAGCAAGACATTTTCCTTCTAATTTCACAAAGAGGAAACAAGTCTGCTATCAGTAAACCCTCTCCTGACTATTGTACTGATCATTTTACAACTGTACCGCCTTCCTAGAACCCACTGCTCCACTCCTGACACATACTACAATGTGAGCTTCAAAAGGCTAGGGATTTTTCTCTTGCTCTCTAATAGATTCTGAATGTCCACAATAGTATGTAGCAAGTGATAGGCACTCAATTAATAATTATTAAGTGATTAAGTATACATAACAGATAAGAGCAATAAGCATATTAGCATGCCATGGAAAGAGAATCATTCTCTAGTTCAGATAGGAATACTTCTGAATAACGGTATAAACACCCCACCATTTCAGATTACTCAGCTCACTTCAAGACCCTACCTGCCTGAGTGCGTTCCTATGGCCACCACTGTGCCACTTGGATGAAAATCTGCACAGTGTCCTGGTTCCTAGAAGAAAGACAGACAGCTGTTGGGGAGTACATAAGAAAGTCTCCCTAGAACTACGGTGACAGTGGCAAAAACATTTGAAAAAAATGTGTTTCATATAAACATGGAATTCTAACAACTTTATTGGAGCTAATAAGAAATAAATAGATATTAGAGGGAAAGGATTTCAGAAGCTGGAGGAGATATGCTGGCACAATGGTGAGGGAAAAACCACCAGCTTCTGGCCACGCAGGAACACAATAATAATAATAATAGCAATATTGATATAGTTCTTCAGTATCTGCAAAGAACTTACATGCACCTTTTTGTGCTAGAAAAGGTGGATATATACGTAGAGTAAGGAGAAAATACAGTGACAGACCATTCAAAAATAGAGTCTACTAGTGAACAGCATTTACTGAAATCAACTGCAACCCACCAGAAACTCAAATATTTCCATAATAATTTGTTTCACGAACATGTGAAATCTATGATTTATACTATTGAAACTGAGAAAACAACTAATTTATTTTAGCTTGTTACCTTGCTTCCTAGAAGTAGGTTCACATTGCACTTTGAGATGAACACTTGGTTATTATTCCCGTCCCCCTTACTAACACATGTAAGATGCTGGTCTGAAACAAATGCTTAGTGCTTTTTCCTTTGCTACTCTAAACTGCCAGTTAGTAGAGTTTCCATGGGTAGAATTTTAATCATAATTTGCTTCACTCACATCTACGAGCCTGGTCCACTCCAGCTTGTGTTCCACTGAGTTCCACATGCACACTTGCCTGTCCTGAGCACATGTCAAGAGCAAGTCTTTGAAGGGATGTGTGGCAAGTCCCCAGAGTTCATCTGTATGACCCTGGAAGGGAAAGGCACTGGCTGTTAGAAGAATGAAAGCGTCTCATCAAAAGCATCCAGTTAATAGCTGATGTTGGCTTACCTGTACTTCTATTTGGAAGCCATCATTAAATGTTCCCCGCAAGATAAAGTTTCGTGAGGTACCTACTAAAAACTGATCTGCCTTTCCTTCTGCTACAGCTCTGATTGTGCCATACTGATCAGGGACCTAGGAAAAATAAGGAATAAAGTCACCATTTACACATCAAAATGCATTAATTATTACCTCAAGGTTACATCTATAGTTGGAAGCAACTGTGTAGTGGAAAAGGACAGAATTCCAAATCTGAACACATCTTGGTCAATCCACGCCAATAATGACATGTTTATTTTACTATACAGATGTTGTAACACTTATATTCTTGAATTCAGTTATCTTTAAATTTACATGATTCAAGAATTAAGTTAGGATTAGCAAAAAAAAAAAAAAAAGAACAGATCACATGAAGCAGGTAGTCTTTGTAACATATTACAGTATTCTGTGTAATAAGTCAATCAGTATAGGAAAAATGTCTTTATCTGTAATTATCTGCAATATGACATAACAGTATGTATGTCCCATCTACTCAACTAAGGATCAAAACATAAAACTGAAGCACATGAAATTTCTTTGTAAACTGAAAAGCAATAGATAGATTCTGTAATCTTGGATACAACCAATCACGGCTGTAAAGTATTAAAAAAAATAAAAACCTGTGTCTGTACTGAACACAGATTTTTCCCTTTTCATTATAAACTATTATAGTACAGTGAAACAACTGTTTACACATTATTTACTCTGTATTGGTAAGGAATACAGAGATGGCTTACTGTATAAGAGAGAAGGGACGTGAGGTTTAGTACACTTGTAGATAAGTGAGTTGAAAGTCTAAGGACTCTGGCTTCCTGTGGCTCTGGAACTAATCCTCTAAGGACACCAAAAGAAGGCTATCATACATTATTCTGTCATTAGGACTCCTTGGGGTATCAATTTCAGACTGTATCATATATATTATAAACATCATTAGAAGGAATGAAGCCTGGGTCCAAACTCCCTGCCCTCTCTCTAGGTAGGCTCAACACACATTCTTTCTAGTCCTCACGTGTTCTTCAAGACCCTAATGTGAAGTCTTATTAACTTAAAATAAAAAAATTATTAAGAGCACTCCATGGAATATCAGCTGTAATGCATTACATATGATATATTCTTAGTCAATGTCATATTAATCTCAAAGAATGAATCTGAAACATTGGAATTTTTTTTTCTTTGATGGTATCCAAACTTGCTCCTAAAAACACTAAGCACGGAGTCCAAATCTATTTTAGAAATGGCAAGGAAAGCAGAAAACAACATTGTGTAGCTTTTGATTACAAAGTCTATCAGGTATCTGTGATGAAAATAAATGGTAAAGGAAGTGGCATTTCCACTATGAATTTAAAAGGTTATAATAAAACAATTTCTTCATTATCTGTCTGCTTAGAAACCCAAGAATAGTTTCCTCTGGGATCTTATTCATAGACTGTGTTTAGAAAGTACATGTGTAGAAAAGCATTGAGCACCTATTCAAAATTTGTCACCAAAAAACCAGAAGTGTTTTCAGAGGCATCAGTTCAACCAGCAAACTTTGTGCACACGGATACAGGTCAGGTTTTAAGGTTATACTTGGTCTATGCCATGAAACAGGGACACACACAGATACAGAGATTTTTAATAATCATCATAGGCTCAGTTTAAAATTCAATTGTTTAAAAAAAAGTATGTGTATGCTTAGACTTTTAAAAAAGTACTCAATGAACATCTGTTGGATTTTAAGTTTTATGTTTGGTTTTAGATTACTAAAAATACTTTAGAAATAAACTATAAGCAAGTTAATCATTCTATTTATTCTTTTTATTTGTTCAGATGATTTTTAGTTAATGGTCTTTTTTCTTAAATGAGGTTATCCTAAAGGCAATAAAAAACTCTTCCACTGGAAGGGACTGAAATGATAAGAATGTATACTAATTAAAAAAAAAATAGTTATCTACATAAGCCAAAATAGATACATTTAGAAGGTGTAATATTTTAAACATTTTGTTCTATTTTCATCCTTACCTCTATTTCTCTTTCAGGATTCAAATCATGATCCCACAGAATTACCTTTCTGTCCTTCCCTCCTCCAGTTAATATCATCCCATTTCTCATCTGGCAAAGCGTGAATACACTGCCATCATGAGCTTTGATTTGTTTGCTGATCTGATATACACCTAAGATGTTGAAGGAAAAAGGAAAGCATTAATGAAAATTTAAAATTATTTGAAAGGCAGAGTTACACAGACAGGGAGACAAAGAGAGACATCTGCTGGCTCACTCCCAAATGGCCACAATGCCTAAGGATGGGCTAGACCAAAACCAGGAGCCAGAAGATTCATCCAGGCCTCCTACATGGGTGCCATCATTCACTGCTTCCAGAGACACAGTAGTAGGAAGCTGGATCAGCTAGGAGATGAACAAGTGCCCATATGGAATGCCAACGGCAGTTGGTGGCTTAAATACCAATGCCACAGCACTGACCCCTACTGATAACTTTTTGCCAGACTTCAGAGTCCTTTTGGAAGAAAGTTTTAGCAGAATCACAGAGAAAATAATCAGAAACTGTACATAACTCAATAATTGAAACTGTACTTTTGGCAACGCCAGCAGAAAAGTTTGACTGAATACTACTGGGTCTGGCATAATAGCTTAGTGGCTAAATTCTTGCCTTGAATCTGCTGGGATCCCATATGGGCACCAGTTTGTATCCCAGCCATTCTACTTCCCATCCAGCTCCTTGCTTGTGACCTGGGAAAGCAGTAGAGGACAGCCCAAAGCCTTGGGATCCTGCACTTGTGCGGGAGATGTGGAAGAAGCTTCTGGCTTCCAGTTTTAGACTGGCTCAGTTCTGGCAGTTGCAGTCACTTGGGGAGTGAACCAGCAGACATAAGATCTTTCTCTGTCTCTCCTTCTCTGTATGTTGCCCCTTCTAAATAAATAAATAAATAAATAAATACTTACTACAATTTTTATTTATCAGTATTTACTTGAAAAATATTTCAAAATATTTGCCAACAAAAAAGCAAAAAGAGTAGTGATAGCAACTCCAAAGATAAAGAGGGTGTAGTGTGTTTTAGCTTCAGAACTTTGCCATCTCTTGTGATCATCTTGCACAGAAGCTGTGGAAGCCATTACATGAGTTTAGAATTGAGGTCAATACTCCAGGATCACAATGCTGGAGTCAGAACTCAAGAATCCTTTAACTTTAATGTTAGGGTAACAGCTATACTATTTACTATTTACTATTTACTAACCATTGTTCACCTGGAGGTCATCAGTGCCATGGATGCCCTGTTTTACTTGCAGATTGAGAGTCTGGGGAAGGCACTGGGGCAAAGGTGGGCCTGGCAGTGCTGAGCAGAGGAAACTTTCAGTATTTTACTAACTACTCCAACTACACCAATGTGATAGTTAAGGGGCAACACAGTTCTCTGACATGCCTATAGCATCCAGCACTGGGGATAATGTGGGAATATATACCTTTTTTTTTTTTTTTTGCTTAAACTCATATGGAGTGACACTTTATATTTCACCTCCTCTAAAAATTCTCTTTCTGAAGGCTGAGGGTAAGAAATTATAGTACTTGAAAAACAATTTCTTAAAATAAAGATTTGGTTTGATCTGAAAGGCAGATTTAAAGAGGTAAGGACACAAAGAGGTCTTCTATCACTGGTTTACTCCTTAAATGCCTGCAATGGCTGAAGCTGAGCTGACCCGAAGCCAGGAACTTCTTCAGGGGCTCCCACGCAGGTGCAGGGTCCCAATGCTCTGGGCCATCCACAACTGCTTTCCCAGGCCACAAGCAGGGAATTGGATGGGAAGTGGAACACAAACTAGAGCTATATAGGATCTTGGCATGTGCTAAGGTGAAGAAGTTCCTGCCTTCAGATCAGCTCAGCTTCAGCTAAGGTTTTTCAGACAAAAACTAAAATAAACATCTCAGAATCTCTCCTTGTACCTCACAGGAACATACAACACTAAAGTTAAGGAAAGCAACATTTATACCCAAATTTGCCTCAGTGTTGGAGAATATGGGAACAATATTTTTTAATAGATTTAATATAATTTGTAGATATAACTCTAAGAACATAATGATATTCCCTTCCTGTCTCTCTCCATCCTTCCGTCCCAAGTGCATTAGCAGGAAGCTGAACTGGAAATGGAGTAGGCAGGACTCAAAATGGAGCTCCAGTATGAGGTATCACAATTAAAAGTTTACTTCATTGTGCCAACGTGCAGGCTCCCTTCCTATTTCTTTTTTCTTCAATCTACCATAGAAGAGAGCAAGACTGGTTTGAGGTGACACTGAATGAATGCCGAGCATAGCACTGGGGCTGGGAAGAAGAGCTAAAGTGAGAGAAGACCAAATAGCACATTCTTTTTTCCTTTCCTATAACATTTTATCATATAAACTTGAGATTTTGCCTTACCAGAAACCCTACCATTAGCCAAGGGGAAAGTGAGTACATATACTTTTTAAATTAACATTTACAAATATTAGTAGCATCTCTCTCCATTCTGTAGGGAACAATCAGAACAAGTGTATGTTATACAAACTTAATGAGTAACTACATAAATGATTTTTTTAAAAGATCAAATCAACCTTAAAACAAAAGGTATGCTGGCCAGTCTCACACTGTACATCTACCGGGACAGCAGCAGCCCTGAGTGAGAACTATCAGCAAGGCATTTACGACTAGGAAGACACTGCACCTTTCGGTCCTTTCCCAGGTGTCGGCTCCACAGCAGCTTTGCTCCATATAAGCATGATTCCACCTGAGTCTCCAGTAAGAACATCTCCGTTGCCCAAGAATGCTAAACACTGTACAAACTTTGGTTTTTCATATTTCTATAATGAAAAAAATGACAATTTTAGTTTTTCCTTTGACATGATTTTATACTCAAAAATTTTAAAATTTATTTTATATACCTAATGAAGTGCTAATATTTTCATCCTTACCCCAAATATTCCCTGTTTCCTTGTTAATGAATTGCCACTCCAGGTCCAGAAAAATATATGAGATTTACCACATGTTATTATGGTATTTGCATCTGTTGGGTGAAATTCCACAGCCAAAACAACTTCATTTGTTGTCTGTAAAAAGAGAAAAAAATGTTAAATAGCTGTGGCCAGAGCTGAGCAGATCGGAAGCCCGGAACCTGGAGCATCATCCAGGTCTCCCACACAGATGCAGGGTCCCAAGACTTTGGGCCATCCTCGACTACATTCCCAGACCACAAGCAAGGAACTTGATGAGAAGCAGGGCCACCAAGACACGAGCCAGCACCCATACAGAATCCCAGCCCGTGCAAGGCAAGGACTTTAGCCACTAGGCTACCGCATTGTACCCCCTCATGTACTTTTGAAACTTGAACAAAGAACCTTTTGTCTGTTGAAGCATTTTTGTTTTGCAAACCAACGTTGTAAATAAGGCAATCTTACAAAAAGAAAGATCGAATATTTCATGTTCTGATACAAATAAAATGAGACTTGAAAGGGTTAGTTTGAATGTTTTCTTTTCTCTTGAGGCTAAAAGTCTTACATTTCGATTAGTGACATTTGGGCTCAAGGGTCTTTGCATAAACAATAGATATGTGCTCCATAAAATCTAATCTGAATTTTTTTTAAAAGATTCATTTATTTTTACTGAACAGGAAGATTTACTAAAAGAAAGAGAGATAAAGATCTTTCTTCCAGGGCCCGGCGCAATGGCTAAGGTCCTCGCCTTGCACGCCCAGGATCCCATATGGGCGCCGGTTCTAATCCCAGCAGCCCCACTTCTCATCCAGCTCCCTGCCTGTGACCCGGGAAGACAGTCGAGCACGGCCCAAAACTTTGGGACCCTGCACCCGTGTGGGAGACCCGGAAGAGGCTCCTGGCTTCAGATCAGCATAGCATTGACCATTGCGTTCACTTGGGGAGTGACGGAAGATCTTCTCAAAGCCATTCTGTTTTTCCAATCTCCTTGAAAGCCACCAGAGAGAAAAGGCCATTTTCTAACTCTCCTAGGGGCATCTGCAAAGCTAAACTTACTCTTCTCTTGCAAGTTACATCCCAATCCATACCAAAGCAGCAATGCCAATCTCCAGCAATTACAAATGGTATAGTATTTCCTGCACTAATTCTATAAATATGATTAAAACCAGAGAAACTGTAAATGTTGTTTCAGTTATATCAGCCACACAGCTAAGATTAAATCTGTCCTTTGAATTTCTAAAGCATTAACAATGGAATGAAATGATGTACTTTACGAAACAAACGCAGCCAAGTTTCACTCAATTTTGAGATTGGACATCGATCTGCTTTGGCATTCCAGTGGCATAATAATGCATGAAACACTACAGTTACTTCATGTGGCCAGGCTACCTGATCTTCTGTAACTGCAATGTAACGCCAGAAGAATCACAACAAATCAATACATATAAAGCATTTGGTCAGTGGGCTTACTGTATACAATTTAAGAAAATATTCCAAATACATACCAAATATTATATTCTAAATGTTATACATAATTCAAGTATTTTAAAATTTACCTTTATTTCTGCTCCTTTTGATTTCTTCTGCCAGTCCCAAACAGTAAGCATATGCTCATTGGAGTCATCAATAACACATAAATGTACACCTGAATCCTAAAATAAAACCAGTTAAAGGTATTTAAGAATTCCTGAATACGTTCATCTTCTATGAAATAATACTGTTACAACAATAAAGTCACTGAAAAGACTTTAAACTCTGCTCTCTAGAAAATAATCAATGCACTACTAAAACTATAGTTTTATCAGAAATACATAGATTCTTATTTTTAAAGGTTTGAAAAGCAGAGGTATAGTGAGACAGGGGGAGACAGAGATCTTCCATCTACTAATTCACTCCCCAGATGGTCCCAATGGCTGGGACTGGATAGGTCTGAAGACAGGTGCCAGGAGCCACAACCAAGTCTTCCAGAGCAAAGGCCCAAGTAGTTGTTGCTGTCTTCCCAATCCTATTTAGCAGACAGATGGATTGGAAATGCAGCAGCCTAGACTTCAACCAGCATTCACACGAGATGCCAGTGTTGCAGGCAACTGCTTAATCCACTATGCCAAAATGCTAAGCTCAACTGTTTTAAAAAATTCACTTTCTATGTTTAATTTTTTCCCTGCAATGAAACATCCCATCTAGCTACTTCATTATTTAAGGACAGCAAATAATTTAACTGGATGATATTTTCAGTCCCTTTGGCACATTTCCTTCCTGCTGCACAATAAGGTTATTTTGAGGTAGGCAGGAAAGGACACACACAATTTACTTTGTTCCTGACCAAGGTTTGATAGTTTGATGGAATAAGCAAAACTAATGGCTATTTTAAAGATTGCTGATAAATGTTTTCTGTGGCACACCTAACTTATGCTCACATGAATACACAAGATAAACATGTAACTAAGCTTCTGTTTTTCTGAAATCACTTTTATTAACCTAATTTATGTGACAAATAGGTATGGATGATATGGAACAATTATTCTCATAGTATCTGTGTATGTGCCTTATGTCTATGGAAACATTGTAGTGAGGAGTGTACTGAGGAGGGTAAAACTTTACATTTCTTTTAATCTGTATTTGGAATACCTGTCTCAACTGCAAAGAGGTAGAATACCAATCAATTCAAGACACGGTAACAACGGTATCAACAACAAATCAGTTCTCACTACAGAGATTTTTGGCAAAAAAAAAAAAAAAAAAAAAAACCAAGTATTTACTCCCATTATTCAGAATATAGCTGCTGGTGGGTAAGAACTAAAAAGATGAGTGGATAACTATATTCTAAAGAAAATAAAAAGGTCCAATAAAAATACATATGGGAGTTTTCATATTTGAATCTAAAATTTCTAATCCTGGAATAGGCATTTGGATTCGTATTTAAGATGGCAGTCAGAAGGCCCACATCCTACACAGGAGTGTCTGGGTTCAGCTCCCTGCACTGGACCTTACCAATAAATTCCTGTGAATGCAGATCTGGGCAGAGAGCTGTGATGGCTCAATTGTGTCCAGGCCATAAACACAGGACACTTGCATAAATAACATCAGGTCTTATTCCTCACTCAGAATAAACCTCAGACTGCCAAACATAGGGAAAAGCACATGGCACAGTGGTTAAGCTGCTGCTTGGGACATCTGCTTTCCACTGAAGTCCTGGTTCTAATTTGCAACCTGGTAGGTAGCAGGTGGTATTTAAAGTAACTGGGTCCTTGCCAATCCACGAAGACGACCTGGAATGAGTTTGTCTCTTGGCTCTGCTGTGGCCCAGGCCTAGCTTCAGCTGCTGTGAGCATCTAGGGAGTGTAGCAACAGATGGGAGATTTCTCGAAGTGTTTTCTCATGTCTCTCAATATTGCTGCCTACCAACTGTGATTTTAAATAACCAAATAGGCAGAGGGCTTTTGGTGTAGCGGTTAAGGCATCTTGTGTGATGCGCACACCCCACTCTGGGTTCCATGAATTTGAGAGTCCTGGCTCCACCATCAATTCCAGCTTTTGCTGAGTGTACCATGAAGGCAGACAGGGATGGTTCTGTGCAAACCCTGACTGAGTTCCTAAGCCTTGACTGAGTTCTGGTTACTTACTGGCTTCAGCCTGGCCCAGTCTTGGTCTCTGCAAGCATAAAAGGAATGAAATTCTCTTTGCACATGAAATGGGGGAGGAGAAGAAATCAGACACAAAATTTCAAATCCTGGCATTATTAAAAAAATTCATGATTTTAGGGAATAAAAAGACTGAGTTTTTCGGTTCCAAGATGCCACTAAGTATAATATCTTGGATCCAAACCAAATCAAAGCTCAGTAGTTGGGCTAATATGCTAATATTTTAGGAATAATATTAACTAGAGCTAATACTTTATTTTCCAGTTACGAGTCACTTTTTATTCAAACACACATAACTGAACTTAACTTCTTTCATCAGCCTTGTTTCTTTACAAACAAAAAAGTTACTTACAGCTTTTGAAAAATCCAGGCATCCTACTCCACGCTCAAAAGTCCCAAGTCCAATAATCTGCAGCGTAGCTAAACTAACTGAATCCCACACTCTGACATGGGGTTGCAGAGGCTGCAAAGACACAAGACAGCAGAACTCACTAGTCTTCAGTTGGATACAAACAAAAAATACCACTACCACTCAGAACTACATACCACCTTTACAAAGACGGAGGAACCCAAACCTATTAGGATATCACTGCCAGATTTACACATGTCTCTGAAGTTCTTCAGCACCTATTATTCTGTTCATAATCCCCCAAATAAGAAAATAACAGTGAAAATAGTAGCAGCAAACAACTTGTATATTTCCTATGCTCCACACATCTTTATTTATTTGGAAAGTCAGATATACAGAGGAGGGAGAGAGAGGAAGATCTTTTGTCCGATGATTCACTCTCCAAGCAGCCACAATGGCTGGCGCTGCACTGATCTGAAGCCAGGAGCCTGGAGCCTCTTCCAGGTCTCCCATATGGGAGAAGGGTCCCAAGGCTTTGGGCTGTCCTTGACTGCTTTCCCAGGACACAAGCAGAGAGCTGGATGGGAAGTGAGGCGGCCAAAAATAGAACCTGTGCCCATATAGGATCCCGGCACATAAAAGAAAAGGACTTTAGCCACTAGGCTACTGCAACAGGTCCTCCACAAATCATTTTAAGTATGCCACTGAAACCTAAAAATCCAATTAACTTTAGTTACTATTAAAATTACTGATTTAACAGAAAACTAGATACAGAGATCTAAATAATTCTCTCAAAGTTAAACTTTTATTAAGATATACAATATAATCTCTCCTTGTTTTTACTTTCAAAATTGATGTGAGAATGTAATGAGCATGTTCATCCATATCTACCAGTCATTATTTCATCTTCAGTGTTGATTCTTAGGAATAGGCAATACTACACAAAGGTCTTCAAAAGTTCATGAAAAATGTGTACTATGAAAAACTTCCTACAATAAAATCCCAGACTTTCTTGCGCCAATGTAAATTTTATCTTTTGAATCTACTTTCCTTGAACTTTGTGAGGTTACTCAGGAGCAGGCGAAATACTTTTAAGTGATACCTGCTCTAATCATTTTTAAAACAAAAATTGTCAACTCAGAGAAACTGTAGTATCCTTATCAGACCTCACATCACTACAAGTAAAAATAGTTTCTCTAAGGAAAACACCTACATTTTACAAAAAAAAAAAACTTAAACAACATGATTTTTTCTTTCGTGTTTCGTTTTTGTCACTCACGTGTTGGTTACTCAGTGGTGTGTTTTTTCATGGTGCTGTAATTTGTTGTTGATGTTGTTGTGGCTGTTCTAACTCATACCAGTTGTTGACCTGGTTTCATGGCTTCTCAATTATGGAAATGTACACTGATGGAATACTGGAGTCTATCATATGCAGATGTGGGGGAATATTGGAACATGCATCCCTGCTTTCATATTATAGATGAATTTCCAATTGGACATGTGTAGACAATGGGATGCTGGATTGTCTGACACTGTACCAACAATGTTTGGATACACTTAAATTAGAAACTAATAGAATTATGATTCCTTATGAAGGACTACATTATTGTAGTAAAATGGGGGAAATCCGTTGGGGGTGGGAGTTTGGGGGGGAATCCCAGACTATACGAAATTGTACCACATAATTCAGAATTCAAAATAAAAATATATTTAAAAAAATAAAATGTTGTTGTATTGTTTATTACCTGCTTACTTAAGTCATTTTTTGGTAAATTTTGAAACAAAATACATAAGATATAGATAAAATGACAATTTAATTCTGACAGTAGTATCACCAAGTACAGAACACATATAACTGTGCCAGCCACTCACCCTTCCATCTTTATCCACGCCAGCTATCTGTCCAGTTGCAATCCTAATTTTGTCAGGATGTATGGCAAGGCTAAAAAGCATTATAAATAATAACTTTAAATACAGGAAATGTGAAGCAGCAGAAATAAGCACTTTTATCAACTTTTAAAAAGAGTTTTCAGCCAGAAAAATATCACAACTTTGTTGGCAAGCAAGTAACACAAATTGCATGAAGATTTTTGAAACTTTTTCCTAAGCTATCTTTTTCTTTTTCCATTTAACACTGAACAAACTAATAGTACACCACATTCGTAGAAAGCAATTATCCACAACTGTGGCTTGGCAATTAACTGAACTGTCTTCACTTGTTCAAGTTTTCTTCCCAACCACGTGCACAAGAATACTTACACTTAAAAAAAAAGGGAGACATGGGATGTTACATTGTATCATTTTTAATGTTAAAATTTAGGCAGGTTTCATTATGCTAATATAATTCTTATATGTGTACTACTTAAAAATTCTTCTTTTAGGCCATTCCTACTCTTGTACAAACAACCCAGCAGTGAACCTCTGAGTATGTACTGTTGTTCATTACTTTCTGGTAGAGCAGTACACATATTCTTGAAGTTTCACAACTTCCTTATATCAAGTGTATCTTTAGAGGCAGGCACCCTAGTAGCAAAGTAGGCTAAGACCTCCACCTGTGAGGCTGGTATCCCTATATGGGAGCTGTTTGAGTCCCTGCTGCTTCACCTCCCATCCAGCTCCCTGCTTAAGGCTTGGGAAAGCAACAGAGGATGGCTCAAGTCCTTCAGCTCCTGCACCCATGGGGGGAGACCTGGAAGAAGTTCCATGTTCCTTCCTTCAGATCAGCTCAGCTCCAGCCATTGCAGCCATTTGGGAAGTGAACCAGCAGATGGAAGGTCTCTCTCTGTCTTTCCTTCTCTCTGTAATTCTACCTTTCAAACAAAAACAGAATCTGTTAAAAAGTATAAAAATACTTAAGAGAATTTGACTGGTATAAATGGCACCTTGCTTTAACTTCCTTAAGAGGTTAGCATTTATTAATGTTCCTTTAATTCCATTTCCTAAATAGTTTTTCTTTATTGAAATCAGCTACATCTAAAACAACTAAAAAAAATCTAACACATTAACATTTTGCTATATTTAATGAAGACTTCTCTTTATATATAATTAAAGAGACAGATCCCATCTAGGAGTTTACTCCTCCAATACCCATAAAGCATAGTTGCCAGAAATGTAAACATAAGTTTTTTAAATGTCCCTAAGTGATGGGCTTAAATAGTAAACTATTAAACAGCAGAACTTATTTTCTTCTTTAAATTTTAATTTACTTATTTGAGAGGAAGGATTTACTTATTTGACAAGAGAGGGAGCAAGAGACCCCATCTACTGGTTTATTTCAAGGAAGCCAACAGTTGGAGCAGAGTCAAAGCCAGGAGCTAAAACTGAATGTCTCCCGTATGAGTGGCAGAAACGTAATCACTTGAATCATGATACTGTGACACCGAGTCCTGGCTGTTTCACTTATGAGGTAGCTACCTGCTAATGTGCCTGGGAAAGCATGGGAAATGGCCCAACCACCTGGGCTCCTGTCACCTATATGGAGAATCCAGGTTTCTGGCTTGGCCTAGCCCAAACCTGGTTACTACAGGCATTTGAGGAGCAAACCATTGGATGAAAGATCCTTCTCTCTCTGTCTTGTCCTCTACTGTGCCCTTCAAATAGGTAAAATAAATTCAAAAAAGACGAAGATGACAAGGATTATCAGGGACCTGTGGAAGCTGAAGAGATTCCAATGAACATTTAAGGGAATTGTGTTTCTTGCCATAGATACTTCAGAAAATATTTTAGAAGATTCCAAATCTTTTTCTTTTTAAAGTACCTTCTGCAAAATATCTGTAATATCCTTACATTCTGAGCTGTAAATAAGAAATTACTTTTAATATTACCCACACTTTAAAATTTTGAAAGAAAGTGATCAAATATTAAAAGATACCAACCATTTTACACAGTCTGTATGACCCAGGTAGTGTCGTTGAGTTCTTTCTTCATAATTAAATAGTACTACTACTGATGCAATGAAATAAACTATTTCCCCAGTAGGAAGAAGGTAAACATTAGCTCGACAGTCCTTTCCTCGATAACCGTATCTTAAAGCACACAGAGTTAAGGTTTCAATAAATGCAATTCTCAGAGTAACACTTTATCACTGACACCTATGGGGATCAGGACTAGGTTTAGAACTAGACAACCCACACCCTATCATTATTTCTTCAGCAATCCCCAGACTTTGAAGGTATTTAGTTTTTGTTGTCTTCCTCCTTAGAGAAATACACTGAGCTCCAAATAAGCATCAGGCACAATGCTGACACGCAGCTCTGCCCAAGGCAAATATGAGGCCTCTGTCCCCAGAGCGTATGGATTGCAAAAAAGTAATCACCAAATCCATCTATCGTTCAATTGTGGTGAGAAAAATTACATGAGCAAAAAGTATAAATGAAAGACTAATTCAGACGACTAGAGAGAATAAAGGGAGCAAAAGACGGCCTCTCTGAGACCATGATATTTATGTCAGATCTAAATGATACGAAAAAACAGCCATGAAATTTGATATGTTAGGAAAAAAATGTTGCAATGAATTACAGCACTGCCGTATAACAGAGAGAATAAGAACTGTCCCAAGCTGGAGGGAGAGGGATTACAGCAGAATAGAGCCAGGCAAAACTCACATTCCCACCTATTTTGCATTTTGTGGGGTGTCTTAAAAGTTCCAGAAGAAATTAGAATTTCTAGGTGAAATCAGCAAAGTTCCATTTTAAACAGTCATTTAAGAAAAAAAATTGGGTAAGTAACTATGGAATTAGATTGTTTTGTTCATTTGAGCTCTTAATAAAAATAATTCATATTTTACACACTGACAGGTCACAAAATGCTTGATGGATGGAGTGTTATTAAATTCTTGAAACAGTCCTGTGAGGTTGGGGCCCTTAAACCTTTTTAATAGGTGAGAGGGAGGGTGGCTCTACATTGTAATCCTCTAACTTCAAGTGCCCACTTTGTATATGGGCACTGGTTCGGGTCCCAGCTGCTGAACTTTTGTTCCAGCTTTCTGTTCATGGCCTGGGAAAGCAGTGGAGAACAGCCCAAGTCCTTGGGAACCTGCATCCTCGTGGGAGACCCAGAGGAAACTCCTGGCTTCCCAACTTCAATCAGGCTCACTTCCGGCCATTGTGGCCATTTGCAGAGTGAACCAGCAAATGGAAGATCTTTCCCTCTCTGTCTCCTCTCTGTAAATCTGCCTTTCACATGAAAATAAGTAAATTAAGAAAAAGAAAGTTATAGTTAATGCAGAGAACTAGCAGAACCAAAACTCAAATCCTAGTCTTCGACTTCTCTGCAGTGCCCTTCCCACCACACATGTACCAGCAGGGACCTTCATGGGATACTGCTTGTGCTTTCAGAATTTATCAATTTTGAGGGCATTAGGTTGCCAATAGCAAAATACATATAACCATGTCAAAGGACCAGATGGTGTCTTATTTTGTATGTGACAAACAATTCTGACAGACTAGGTAAACGATTTTTTTTTTGTCAATCAGAGACAAAGTACACCAATCTTCTGTCACAGTACAGAAGGATACGCCCACTCCAGTTTGAGCTTCTCAGGAGGCAGTTCTGTTCTGATGTCATCATAGTTATCAATATCAGAAGGAATGAACATTGTAATTGGCCGACCTCGCATAAACATTTTAATATACTCTCCTTCTGTTGAAACACAAGAAAAAATCGTCACATGTATTTCTTATATAATCACAAAAGATGGTTTACTAATGTGATAAAAGAAAAAAACAGCTACGTCACTTTTATGCTCACAATACATTATACAGAATATTGAAAACAAAGTTAATGAAGACTCTGGGGGGAAAACTAGCCACTTCCTTAAATAAGAAAAGCTATTTTCATAATTAAAATATAATTGATCTAATTTGACATATTTCTACAAGTAGACCAGGAAGGCTAAGGTAGAAAATGGGTAAGAATACAATTTGGTGGTGGAGTTTTTGTTGTACTTGTTGTTTTTTAATTCTTGACAAGAAAATTATTTGGGCAGACAATAACCATGTCCAGCACACTTTATTAACCAACTGGTGCTTTATCAACACAGACAAAACAGGATCCTAAAACTGAAAGGAAACAACAACAAAGGAAGCAAGTGAGGGAAAAGGCAACCTACAAAGTAGGATAAAGTGTCTGCAAATCATATTAAATATGGAGTTAACATAAAATAGGTAAGGAGATCTTTAAACTGAATAGCAAAGAAAACCTAGTAATTTATAAAAAAACTAGGTAATTGGGTATCTCCAAAAATACACAAATGGCAAACAAATTGCTTTAAAATTCAGTATCATTAGTTATCAGGGAAATGCAAATCAAAACCTCAACTAGAAATTGTGTAACACCTGAGCCCTTGAACACTGATGGCACAAACACAAAATGGTGCAAATACTCAGGATAGTGATTTCTCAAAAAACTGAAATTAAAGCTACCACTTGAATCAACAATTCCACTACTAGGTGTTTTCCAAAAAGACTGAAATCCTGGTCTTACAGAGACATCAGCACTCTAATATTCACCACAGCATTACACTACCAGTTACAATATGGATACAATCTAAAGAGCCATCACAAATGAATAAAGATAAATACACACACTAAAATGCAACTGTCTCTAAAAAACTTTGTTTGCAATATACAGTCACTCAGATAAACTTTGCCAATCATATAAAATATTACGTATCCCTTCCACTTGTGTGAGGTATCTTACAATGGTCAAATCCACAGAATCATAGCTTAATGGTGGTCAACAGGGGTTAAGAGGAGAGAGCAAAGCGGAGTTTTCAACAAACTGTATAACAAAGTCTCATGCAAGAAAAAAGTGTTAAGTCAGCTGTGCTACACTGTAGCTTCAGTCTACAATAATGCATTGGATCCATTAAAATTTTAAGAGGGCAGATCTCAAAGTAATGCTGTTACCAAAACAAAAGACAAATCTAGACTCAAATCAGTACTTAATTCTTTACAAAAGGAAACAGAACTTCCTGTCACTAAACAGAATATGATGGCTTACTATTATTTCAAAAGTAGGTAACAGATGCCAGCACTGTAGCACAGCAAGTTAAGCCACTACCCATAAGGCCAGCATATTACGAGTACCAGTGCAAGTCCCAGTGGCTTGGTTTCTGAGCCATCTCCCTTCTAATGTGCCTGGGAGAGCAATGGATCAAGGCCCAAGTGCTTAGGCCCCTGCCACTCATGTGGAGATCAAATGGAGTTTCTGGCTTCTGATTCCCATCTTGGTCAGCCTCTGGGGAATGAACTGGCAGATGGGAGATTTTTCTCTCATTTGTTCACTGTGCCTTTAAAAATAAATAAATAAAAGCTTAAAATAAAAACAGAACCATTCAATCTTGCCCCTAACATTCACATGACCTACATATAGACAGGTTTAATAAACACTGACATTAACTGTAAAATGGTTACCAAAAACCTTAAAAGAGTGAAAGAAAGGAACTGAACACAAAAGCATGAGAAATATCTAGCACTTCCTAACCCGTCAACAACATTAGAACCAGACTAAAAACGTAACCATGAACCAGAAGCTGTTATCATCTTAACACCTCTAATTACTACTCTGGTTACCCACAGAGACAGGCACATAGTAACTAAATAATACAAACCATGAAAAGCAGGGAAAGAAATTATTTGCTGAACATCAACAAGTATTTCTTTGGTGTCAGATTAAAAATTTGTGCTTGTTACGGGTGAGAAGTTCAAGTTATTTTTATTATTATTACTCACAGTTGTGCTCAGCCTCACAGTCTGACTTAAGAGCAGACTAAAACCTCCCACACCATAACTGTAATATCACATGATGTATTTCTTTATTACTTCTGAATCTAAGAGTGGGCTCTGCTTCCTGATGATTTTAGCACACCTGCACTTGCATAACTAAGTGACTACTACTGTGACACCCCTCCTGCCATCCTCTTTAGCCACATCTTCTAGTCCCTCTGCAAAGTTTACTCTTATAGCTGGTATTACACAATTTTGCCTCTAGCATTTTTTACATATCATTTTTTAAAAGCACATACCCAGCCCTTTTGAATTTGTTGCAAATTCTTTGACCAGAGGCTCCAATGTCTTCCCAATTTAAAAAAATAAATTATAAATGCTTCCGTTCCTATCCGTTCCTATCTATATCTGTCTGTGTCACACACAGACAGAGCAAAGGGAAATGATTAGATATAATATGTAGCAACAAAACAAACATATAGAAACACAGCTCAGAACAGCATGCCAATTCACTTTTCAATCATCAAAGATAGGAGAAACTAACGAACTATCTAGACGACTGAGGCTGAGGACACTGGTGTCCCTCCAGACCATATCAGGGAACAGCAGCTTGTCAGTTCCATGAAAGATGCGTACTCAGCCCAATATCTTCTCATTTCTCAAAAGAAACTCATTAACTGTTCAATCTCTTAATTTTTAAATGTTAATTTATTTGCTATAAAGAAGAAAATTGTGTGTGAAGCACATCTCTTTGACCTGCACACAAGGACAATACAACCTCTGGCGAGCATGTGAATATGTAAAAGGTGCAGGTTAAAGTCTGCTCTCCAGTCAACCTGTCATTACAGACTTTTTCTGGAGATTCTCAGGCTTGCTGATCTTAAAGTCAAAGAACCTACACTTTGGATTATATTACTCCACAACACTACTTTCTAGCTGCCCTTACCATAAACAACCAGCAAAGTTAAGGCAAAGGGATCGCTCATCTCAACATTTTATCTTCTATCTTGACAGTGAAAATTCCTGGGAGAGAACACAGTTCTTGGTTTGAATTTCAGTTTTAGTACTTACAGCTTAAGGTCAAGGAAAATAAGCATTCTTAACTGAATCTGATCAGACAAAAAACTTTGATCATGAAAGAAATTCTGGAGACCAGTGCTGTAGCACAGCAAGTGAAGCTGCCTCCTGTGATGCCAACTCCGGTTTGAGTACTGACCGTTCCACTTCTGATTTAGCTCCCTGCTAATGAGCTGAAAAAGCAGTGGAAGATGGCCCAAATCCTTGGGTCCTTGCCACCTATGTGACAGAACTACAAGAAGCTTCTGGCTCCTGGTATCAGCCTGGCCCGCCCGGCCCAGCTGGCCCAGCCGGCCCAGCCCTGGCTGTGTTAGCCACCTGATGAGTGAACCTGCTGCTGAAGAGTCCTTCCTTCTCTATAACCCTTTAAAAAAAATAAAAGACTGCAGTTTACTTTCTAAAAAGAAGGAAGGAGGGGGAAGGGGAGGAAAGAAGGAAGGAACGAAATTCTCTAAGATGGTGTTAATGCAACTGTTGGCTCCTTTCTCTAGACAGAGAACTATATATAAATATATAAAAGAGTTTACTTAATGCAACCTTCTATATTTTTGTAACTTTATTTTTATAATCTGAAAGGCGGATCAGATTTACAGAGAGACAATGCTGGTTCATTCCCCAAATGGCTGCAATGGCTCGTACTGAGTCAATCCAAAACTAGCAGCTTTCCTCGGTCTAACATGTGGATGCAAAGTCCCAAGATTTTGGGACATCCTCTTAATTGTTTTTTCAGGCCACAGGAAAGGAGCTGGGTGGGAAGAGGAGCAGCCAGGACACAAATTGGTGCCCATATGGGCATCAGCTGCCACCTGGGGAGTGAGCCAGCAGATGAAGATTTCTCTGTTATCTCCTTCTCTCTGTAAATCTGACTTTATAATAAAAATAAATCTTTTTAAAAAGTTAAAACTTATTTGGTTCCACGTACCAGGCTCTGTTAAAATCCTTATTATCTAATTTTTATAATAACCTGCTGAGGAATTACTGTAGTCACATGGTATTGACATTTGGCTGTACAAGATTATTATTGTTATTTCAACTACAGATTTGTAAACAAAGACTTAGGGAGTGGTAAAGTAACTTATGTAATGGCACCACAGGTAATCAGTAGTGATGTCAGTCTCCATATTCCAAAACCAATTATGTTTAGCAGCTACATTGTGTTGCTTGCCCAAGAATTGCTTCATTAAACAACTCTGGGGCAATTACCTTCCCATATCCAAACTCCAAATCTTTTCCAAACATCCACCACTCCTTGTTTCAGCTCATGCCACTAAAACGCGTTGCTCAGGCTGGTGTTCACAGATTCCCACTGTTATTTACTGCCTATTTTCTATCTATTTCCTAAATCATCTACAATGCACTTCTTTCTAAAGGCTTTTGCTCAATCTCAGTAAGGTCTGAACTATACAGCAGAGTGAAATAAAAAGTTCTCCCTACAGAAACATTCGAATGACTAAAATCTGTTCACCAGTCAGGCCGCAGATGAGTAAAGTGGCTGAGGAACAGACTCAAATTCCTGAAAATATATAAAGTTCAACACAAGCAGCATTTTGCATCCGGACCCATCTTTTTTAAGGTTAAAATTCTTTTAATAGAATTGAACCTATATCCCTGTCTTTTCTCCAGCTTTTCATTTAGTCCTTCTTTCAAGACAATTAATGCAATCCTGTTCAGTGCTTTCTAGAGGAAATCTCCCCCCTTTTAAAATATATTTACTTACTTGTTTACCTGGATGACTTTGAACATTTTGTCACTAACAGGAACCACTCTTACATACCAATTTTAAGTTTCTTTTCCTTCCAAAGAACATACCCCCAACATGAGAAAAGGGCAGGCAGCCCTTTCTCATTTACCTAATAAGGATTTTATAAAATGTGAGCTCTTTTGCAAAAATATTTAATATTACCATATTATAATTACTGTTTTGTAGCATCAAGGTACTTTCATATAGATTATTTCACCTTTCAGTAGTCACATGGTACTGACATTTGGCTGTACAAGGTTATTAAGCAGAAAACAAGTACTACGTGCTAAACACATGATTCCCTAATCTTTGTTCTTTCCTCTCTACATTACTGCTTCACTTTTAAAAATGTTTTTGGTATATAGTAAGTATTATCTTTATAAACCTTAAAGTATTTAATCTGCACCTGGCTACAATGGAGGTAGAAAGTAAGATCTAATAAAATGAGAACAATGCCATCAAAATTCAAGTTGATTAAATGTTCTTAATACACAAACAAGTGAGTCAAAGATGATTATAGACAACTACTAATTTTTTTTAATTGAAACCAAAAAAAAACGAAAGTAAAAACCCACAGAAATTAGGTTAGATCTCTAACAGGAACTTTAAACACACTGTAGCTGATTAATAATCCAGAAAATAAAGATAACTATGATATACAGAAATGAGCTGCAAAAGCATGCACAGGAAAGACATGCTTTCATTTAGAACAGCATGCGTCAATTAAATGGACAGGCAATCTTAAAGAGGATGTAAAACTGATAGATAAAACCTACCTATATTGCCATTAAATTAAACACACATTTACAGAAAGTCTGCTCTCCCTTTTTGGTCAGAACAAGCCAACAACAGCAAGTAGCCAGAAATCACAATTAATATAAACGAAAAATTTAAGAGGAAATGAACTTGCTACACTCATTATAGTATTTTCAGTCTTAGCGTCAAGAAATGAGTGATTATTTGCAATGAAGTTGGCAAGACAAGAAACTGAGTTAAAATTTATCAATCTTTTAAATGGCTTTTCTGCTTTTCTTTTTTTTTTCTTTTTCTTTTTTTTTTTTTTTAGCAAAGTAGAGAATACTTCAGGTCTTGTTTTGATGCTGTGTTTACTTTCATTGTTCACCTATAATCATCAGATTTCACAGATAAGATTTTTTTAAAAATAGCTGGATTCACTCATATTACCATATTTATTCTGTTTAGAGCCAAGCCAGATAATACAAATAATGAAAAGCCAAATAAGAGATCCAAGAAGAAATTAACTTAGAAGGCAACCAACTGCGTAGCTTATTCTTACCTTGGCTGTTTTTTTCACGGGTTGACATTTTTGCTGGTTGAGACAAAAATGACATATCTTACAACAAAAATTGGGCACTTTCTTAAATAACTATAGTAATGAATTTCTCTCATTTCTACAAGCTAGTAAAGTACACCAAATGAAAAATAAGTCAATATTTTATCTACTAGCAAATTTAAACTGAGGCAGGGAAGCAAAAAAAATGTTTTAGTAAAGGCTTTTTAATTTACCTTGGTTGATGATGACATCTTTGTGCCTAAAAAGAGAATTCAAGAAATAAATTTATTTTACATGATTTCATATGGCTGATCATTAAAATTACCTAAAGACCTTATGAAATTTTTTTTGTATCCCTCCATCTTAAATAAATCTCTAGAAGTGAAATTTTGGCATCAGTATCTCTGGTTTCTCACTGGCCTCCATTACTAACATCACTGTTTCATAAAACAATGAATATCCTAGAATAATACCTCAACAGTGAAAAGCATAACAAAATTTAAGAAATGTGCTCAAAATACAAGATTATTGAGATTTACTACTTGAGTTAGGGGTCGATAACAAAAAGATACAACTTTTTTTTAAGACCTAAAAATTACAGAGCAGAAAGTACAGACATTTTAAAGCATTACTTTAAGACATTCAAATTAGGGATAAACGACTTAATCTGCCAACATAACAGATATAAAATAGTAAGAACTATAATACTCACTTATCTGTATTTTTAGTAACTTTTGGTATTAATTTTGATGTTGAAGGCGTTCTCAGTAATTTATTACGACTATCATCTGAATTTTCCCATGAATTATGTGACTTTTCAGTTGTTGGTGGTCGTTTTATACTAGAAGAAATATATACATTTCTTAGAGAAAAATTCTGACCATCAATGACAAGTAATGGACACTTCAAACAAAAAACAGTAATTAATATTTGCTTAAAAGCTAATCCAGAAAAGAGAAGGAAAGATTAGTTGAAAGGCTGTGCCTGGATGAGTGAAGGAATTAAACAAGGCAGTTGCTGAATCTGTTTCATAATGTCACTATTATTCATAAAATTCACAAGAATATCCGATTTAAAATTTTTACCTTTGTTAACAGAAAAAAAAGCCACTAGTCCACATCTTTGAGTAACAATATTTCTCATAATCTATAGCTCCAAAAGCTGTAAAATTTATATGGCTGAAACTTTTTATGTCATTCTATACTCATTTAGTTACATTACATCATACAAATTATAATTTCCAAATTGGGGACTTTAGATATAAAATTCTTATTATAGCTTTAGAGACAAGTTTACCAGTGATCAGATAAACAATATTTGATAAGAAAAAAATATGGTATTATCAATAAATAATTTTGGGAGCTGCATTGTAATTATCCTGAAACTCATCCAGTCTTCAGTATTTTTTGCATAGTAAATCCAAAGAGTGACCAAGAAGGGCAAGCACATTTCCAGGAGCCCTCAGAAGCTGAAAAAAAGACCGGGACAAAGAAGACACCAAGTCAAAATTGAACCTTAGAGAACCATAAAGAGGTTGATTATTAAAAGCCACCTTTAACCACACACAATCCAAAGTTGAACACTTTAAAGGCTACATTCTAGAGAAACTCCACAGGGGATCAGGCAAAAGATTTACAAACCATTTATGCAGTGTAAGATTCTGCACGACACACACAAAGCATTTTGTAAATGGTAAACATGCACCAATCAAGTGAAGGGTAGTTTAATTTCTCCGAATCTCCACTAGAGACTTGAGACAATATATTAAAATGATCAAATAAAAAATATATTGCAATTCTTTTAGAAACAGTTTTCATTCATTTTACTAAAATCTTTGAAAATTCTGGGGATAATTTATCACCTAAGGTTACCAAGCACAAGTAGGATGATATAATGCATCTATACCTAATCATAAAGCTTGAATCAACATCTCCAAAACAGGAAAATTTAATTAAGTTGGTTTCAATATTTGATTACAAGGCAGCTGTAGCAGTGAACTCCCAGCATGCAGGTTTAGATTCCCAATTTAGGCTCACACACATTGTTAGGATATTTATCCCTTCTCCCCTTCTCACAAATTAAAAATATGGACACAGAGAGAAGCCCTCAAGCAAGCCTTTAGCATAGAAAAGACCAGATGAAATGGATTCATTTCTTTACATAAGCAAGAACTTATCCTCCCAAGACCCGAAACTAAAACTGAGATGCAGCCACAACGAGGAGCCATTTGTTGAGAAGGCCTTTGCAAGTTGAAGGTTGTAATGACGCCAAAATATGGTGAGGATAATTACATAAGCATTTGCTACCCATGGCTTTAAAGTTATGTATAAGTATATAAATTGCTAATTTTACATTAAAATATTGTTTTGGTTTTAAAAAGATAATTTCTGCAGTTCTTTTATCAGATTGTCTCATTTTAAATAAGAAATTTTGACCTTAAAACTTTGTTCCCCAATTACGACAAAGAAGAGAAAGAAGCCACTAGGCCTTTTCTCTTGAAATCCAAGGATAGCCAACTTTCCCAAGTTACTGAATTTAGGTATCATTACAACCATTCCCTAGGTCTGAACTCAGGGACAGTTAAAACCTTTTGGTGGGAGTAGAATTCTTGCTTTCTGGAGTTTGTCTGTGTATTTGGAGAGGCTGTGAAGAGGGCTGGGGAGAAGGTGATGCTCGAATTTGTGGACTTTGATCATTAGAATGAGATTCCTCTTTTTTTTCTCTCTGTCCTTGTGGTTTTTCTTTCTTTTTTTCTGTACCACTGTAAAATAAAGTATAACATGGAACAACATATATTTAACAAATAAATCATAAGTAGTTATTATATAATTCAAAAATTTAAACCGTACAGCTAAAACAATTTACATTGCTTCCCATTCAGTAAGAAGAAGTACTTCTTTGAAAATTCTACATGCTACTAAAATCTCTGGTTAGAGATTGATGAAGTTTCCAAGGCAATGTATCATACAAAGAGTGCCCCAATTGGATGGAAATAATCTCCCTCTTATGAATTTCTGCTACTTTTGGCAGATTGGGTGAGGGGGAGAAGGGGAGGCAGAGAACAACAAGATCTCTTAAGGATCTCAAATCAAGGAATCTGTGACACTTTGTATTATCTATGTGAAACATTAATGCCCAACACATGCTAAATTAGGTTATTTCTACTTCCTCTGTATGCTTCTGGCTTCCACCAACTGAGTTTTTAACTTAACAATGGTACAAATCTGAATTTAGTATGTTATTTAAACCAAAAAGAAAACTGGTAAAATGCAAATAGAAAACAGAATTGAAGTTCTATGAAACCTAAGTCGAAACTTCTATAAAGACTATAAAGGTAAGTGCTGTTAAATTTAGGATGATGACACAAATTTTCAAAAACACAGAAATCGGTCCCAATATACTTTACCAGAGTATTCAAAAGTAGTGAGATTTAAAAATCATTCAAGTTACTTATAGGCATATTTTATGTAAGACACAAAACAGGAATTTGATCAGAGACATTCTTGGGAAAGGAAAGAAGCTTGACCTTATTTTAAAAAAATTAACAAATGGATATATATACACATACACATATATATGAATATACTTTTAAGTTAATAATGCTTAACGTGTAAAATTTCCTGACTCCTGAGTCTCAATTAATCAACCACCTGCTATTCCCACACTGGCTAAGAACACATTATACATTCTTGACAACAGTATAAAAAAGTGAATTCCAATGTTGAAAACCTTAAATTCCAATATTAAAGGTAGAAAAGTACAAATGATCTCTTGTTTTTAATCAAAAGATATTTTGTAATTGGTAGGTAATAGGGGCCAGCACTGGAAATCAGCTGGTAACGCACCTGTGATGTTGGCATCCTCTACGGACACAAGCTCATATCAGAGCTGCTCTACTTCTGATCAACTCCCTGCTAATGGCCTGGGAAAAGCAGTGGAGGATGCACCAAGTGTTTGGATCTCTGCCAGTGGATGGGAGACCTGGCTGAAGCTCCTGCTTCTGGCTCTGACCTGACTAAGCCTTGGCCATTGCAGATATCGGTTAGGGAAACCAGCAGATGAAGATCTCTCTCCCTTTACCAGATGGCTCTTTCTCCATGTCTTCCTCTCTCTTTGTATCTATCTTTAAAATAAAGAAATCTTAAAAGAAAAAAAAAGTGTATGGCCTATATAAAAGTAATGTTCCAAGAATATTTTTAAAAAATATACATATTATATACAATTTAATTATCTCATTATAACAGTTCAAAACATTAGATATCTTGAGTGACTTTTTTTATATTAAAAATTATTTGAGAGGCAGAAAGAGAGCTCCCATTTGCTGGTGCACTCCACAGATGGCCACAACATCTGAAGGCCGAGGCAAGCTGAAGCTGAAAGCCTGGAATTTAATCCAAGTCTCCCCATAAGCAGCAGAAACTCAACTACTTGAGCCACCACCACGGGCTCCCAAGGTCTGTGTTACAGGAAGCTAGAATCGGAGTCAAAGGTGGGCATCAAACCCAGGTGCCCCTTTGGGAAACAGTTGTCATAACTGGTATGTCAATCACTAGGACAAATCTTTTAATTGTATTTCTTCATATTTTAATATTTACTTATTTGAAGAAGCTTAGAGAGAAGACAGTGGCATTTCTTCATCTAATTCAGCTCTGATACTTTCTGACTTCAAGTTTTTGTTTACTTGCTCTGTTCACTGTTTCTTAAAATATGTGCTATGAAATAGAATTTGTCAAAAATCGTATCAGCTAAACTGACTTTGAAATTAAAAAGATACAAAAATACTTGAGTTAAAACGTTGTTTGTTTGTCTTAAAACATCATGAATGCACACACAGTTAAATTTATGTGG